TTGTTCTTTAAAATGTTTAAAGTTAGAGTTTTGATCATTATTTTTATGAATCATGATTTCAATATCAGTCCAAATCATCATGAATATGACTTTTTTTCGTCATGGCCCACCTCCAGAGCCACAAAACTCAACTCGCAAACATTTTTGGTCGCCCCCTGCAGGAGAACGAGGGTCAATTCAGTGTCCTCCAGCTGGTGGGGATGCTGCGAGGCGTCGGCGCCGGGATGCGTTACCTGTCGGAGAGGAACTTTGTCCACAGGGACCTGGCGGCCAGGAACGTGCTGGTCAACTCCAACCTGGTGTGCAAAGTGTCCGACTTTGGCCTGTCCCGTCTCATGAGGGGCCTGGACCACAATGTGCCAACGTACACCGCCTCCCTGGTACGTACTGAGAAAAGCCCCCCCAAAACTGCGCAGTTTTTGAGCGGCTCCGTTTCCCGCGGCAGGGGAGCAAGATTCCCGTGAGGTGGACGGCACCGGAAGCCTTTCAGCATCGCAAGTTCAGCTCGGCCAGCGACGTCTGGAGCTTCGGCATCCTGATGTGGGAAGTGATGTCGTACGGGGAGCGCCCCTACTGGGACATGAGTAATCAGGAGGTGAGGACGGGGGGAGGTGCGATGGTGACGGCGATACGATGCGCTCCTGTGCACGAGGCCGTTGAAAGCGAGTCTTTTTATCGATTCTCCAACCCAGGTGATGAAGGCCGTAGCCGACCAGTTTCGTCTCCCCGCCCCCACTAGCTGCCCCTCGGCCCTCCACTCGCTGATGCTGCAGTGCTGGCAGGCCGAGCGAGGGGACCGGCCGGGCTTCGAGTCCATCCTGTCCTCCCTGGACCGCCTCATCAGGCATCCCGCGTCCCTCAAGACGGACGTAGTGCGGTAAGACTGTCACCCGGCATTCGCAAAGCGGGGGATTGGATTTGAACTCCTTGTCTTTGATGTGTAGAAGCTGCTCGCAGCCGCTGCTAAGCCCCACCCCCACAGATTTCTCCTCGGTGGCCACAGTCGGCGATTGGCTACGGGCACTGAGGATGGAGCGATATCAAGATGAGTTTGATCGAGCGCAATTGGACACGTTGGATAGAGTCAGCCGCCTCACCGTGGAGTGAGTACAGCTTGGCCAGAAACACATTTTGCGGGGGTGGGGGGGATGTAATAAATAAATAAAACCACACAAAAAACAAAGCATTTTCGAAAAAATATAAATTCATCGAAACGAACAAAGCTGCTCGAAAGACCAATCAAAATGAACTGGATTAGAAATAAAGAAAGTCAAAACTAAATAAAAATTAACGGTAATGAAAAATCCCAAACTATGACAGTATACCCTTAGTCTCAAGCAAGGTTATTATGGTTCAGGAAAACTAATGAAAAAACTCAAACCGAAACAATGTTTTTGCTCTCTCAATAAAACACAAAAATCCCGTCATAAAATGAAAACAAACCGAACCTACATCTGACATTAATAAGACTAACTATACTATACTCCATCAGAGACATCCAGAACCTTGGAGTGAACCTGCTGGGTCACCAGAGGAAAATCTTCAACGCCGCCCAGCAGCTCAAGGCCCACCTGACTCAGGGCCAGGTGGAGGTGTGACTGCAAGCGCGCTGAAGGCCACCAGCCTGGACTCCTGCTGACTTTTGCCACTGCATTCAAAGACATATCCGGGGGACTGATATGACGGAAGACGCAGTCCGGCGAGGCCCGAGAAGACTGCGGCGACGTGTTTCACGTTAAATTTGACCTGATTTGTTGCCTGCCTTCTCCATCCTTCCTCTCTTCCTTTCACTGCCCCGTCCGTATGCAGAACACTGTCGCTCTTCTTTTTACCTTCTTTATTTTCATCATATACCGGTGGACTTTACTCCGAACAAAGAATTGCGGCGAGACAATGAAAAAGTATTTTTGGGCTGTGTGTGAAATGATGTCACCAAATCCTGGACAGTGTTGCTGCCTTTCACGTTGCTTTAATTCTCCCAAGTCGCACCCGTGGCCAGACCGCAGTCACGTCACTCTCACTTTTGAGCGACAAAAACAGCAATTTTTTTGGGGTGTTAAACACAAACAAGCGTTTGCCCGTGAGAGGAGCGGCACCCCCACAAGCTTTTGTACTCCATAGAAGTCACACACTTCACTTGGTTTCCATTTTGACTGCAGGCACTAAAACACTGAGAGCTCTGTGATCGTGTGACACTATCGGATCGGACCAACACTTGAAGGGAATGTCCGCGGATGCGGGTGTCAGTTTACACATAAATAGCTGTGTTTACATGTATGAGTGTTCACCACTATTCCGTAATTGTGAAACATTTGTAAAATAAATGAAAAGATTTTATTTAATTTACATCACTGTCATTTTTTTTTTTTTTAACGGAACACCCTCCTATTTGTAGATTGTAACAATTTTCAATCAAGATCCAACAAAATTCATTTATATTATGTTCTCCTGCCTATTCACGCATTTCATTTTTGGAACCAGTCAGAGTAGTCGCTGAAAAATCAATTATTCAGTATTTTCATGGTTGTTCTGAAACACCATAGAATGCCACAAGGTGGCGGCAAAGCACTGTCTCATAGAAAAGTAATGCTTTGGCGCCATATTGGTCATCAGGGTGCCAAGGAAGGATTATGTAAGTGAAGGAGCTTCTGTTACGCTGAACATAAGGTTTTGAATTTACGCGATTTTATTTTGTCAAGTTTCCGCATGAAATAAAATCATCTGGGTCCAGATATTTTTTGACGTACGCAATACATCTTATAAAATTGACATCGATCAGTATTAAAATTACGGTATCCACTTATAAAATTGAAAAAAATTAAAAACTGTTTCCAGCACACACACACACACATAACTTTTGGGTAAGTATATTGCATCAGTGTTTGTGACTTCATCCTCTACAGGAGAGAAAAATTAACTCAAGTGTTCTCATGACACTAACATCGATCTGAATGAATGTCGATAACACCGGTATCAATATTATCGCTAATTGGATCGTTCCGCCGCTACTAATTGGCACCCTGTGCAAATGGACAGCATAAGTAACTGAATCGCGGGAGTGGATTCGTGTTCCCCCTCCTACAGCACTTGACATTGACCACCCGGATGACCTTCGTAGTGGAGTCAAGCATCTCCGCGGAGGTCAGCATTTTTGGAGTGGAATCGCAGTCGGAGATCTGCTGGTCTCAGCATGTGTCGGGCAAAACTCGGCTCTCTGGCATGGCGGTAGCAGCGCTGGGTCATGGTAAGTGATCTTCTCCGATAGCGAGACAAATGTCCCGTCCGCAAACTCACTGGAGAGCGCGGACGGGCCTTTCCGAAACCGTCAATGAGAAGGAAGCTTGATTATTAGTTGAATTGTCACAGGAAGTGTTTAAAAATATGAAGCCGTCATTTTCAGTCTATTCGTGTATGGCTTGTTTATAAATTATAACAGCCCTCCAATATGGCCGCCGGTAGTGCATTGTGGGTATTTGTTAAAAGGACGGAGGCCTCTATTGTTGGGGTTGGAATGACATTATTTTATTTATTCCATGAAATGTAATCTGAAATTAAATATTTTTTTTAAATATTTCCAGTTTATAGTTTTGCATTTCTGTTTTGTATTTTTTTTTTACCTCCCTTCTTATTTGCCTTTCTTTTTTAATGTAATTATTTCGTTTTTACTGTGCAAATCAATGATGGTGTCGTGATTCACCCTTAATTTGAGGACAGTCTGGTCAATGTTAATTCTAGACTGCAGACTTCACACTTGGGTCAATTAGAGGAGCCCAGAGTTCAAAGTCAATATGGTGAAGCTGCATTTAGCCGTTATGCTGCAAGCAAATGGAATAAGCTGTCAAGAAAGGCGAAGGCTGCCCCAAGTGTCAATGAATTTTAAATCCAGGCTAAAAATGTTGCTTCAAAGTGGGGCTTTAAGCTAGAGTTAGTGTTCGAGGTAGGGTTGTAAACAAGGGCAAGGATTACGGTGATGTCCATCACATCGTTTTTAATGCAGCCAACCCACCTAGAGAAGAGTCCCCTCTTTGCAACGTTTCAATTAAAATGCGTGCAGTGACGCCTGTTGATGCCAACGCTGAGTCGGGACTGCCTTCGTATCTGATTGAAACGCTTGCAAGTTCCAAACTGGTTGTTCCCAAAAGCTGCTTTTTGAAACCTGTCATGATGCTGCAGAATTTGCCATCGGGGCCATGCAGGTTTCCGGGCAGGCTGCCGGAAGGCACACGGGCCCGCCCGCCAGTGAAGGCTTCACCTGCAAACTTTCAAAGAACTTCTTGTCTTCCAAAGGACTTCCCGAGCTGAACGTGGATTGCTCGCATTTCAAGTGCGAGTCCGACTCGAGGTCAATGTCAATGTGTCTCCTCCCTCGAGACGGGCTGGTATAAACGCATGCTCACCTCCCCTCCCCTCTTCCGTGACTTTTGGCACCCCAGTGCGGTGGAAGCAACGTTTGGACGAGCATGTCCCCTGCGCTGGCCAGGTCGGCTCCCAGCGAGCTCAACCACTGGTGGAGTCAGCTCAAGTTTCGCTTTCACCACAAGAAAGGATGGAACCAGATGCTGGATGAGACCTTCCTGCTGCACACCAAGTGGTAAGAAGTTTGTTGCATTCATTAAAGAAACAAAGAAACAAAAAACGGTGGATTTAAAAAGTCTACACACCCCCGTTTAAAAGTGCACGTATGTTCCACATTAAGCGGTTAATTTTGATCACATACCAACATATCTATTTATCACACTCACTTTTATATCACAAAAAGCTGGTGTTTGAACAGGAGTGTGTTGACTTTTGCAGTACAGTAATCGTATGGCGTCATCATATCTCAGTTGGATTACTGTATCGCCCAAGTTTGTTACTTCCCACCAGAGACGAGCAATGAAGAAAATGAATGAGAAATATTTGACCGGAGACTAATGTGATGTGGAAACGTTTATCTTCCAGCGTGACGGACATTCCTCTTTTCTACGCGGCAAAGAAGAACAGCGCGGGCTGCATCAAGAAGCTGCTCGGGTGTTCTTCCACCAACATTTTTGAGAGAGGTACACCCGCCCGTCTTGTCTGTCCTGTCCGTCCGTCCGTCTGTCCGCCGCTCTGTGGTTGAATCCCAACGTGTCTCGTTGCGCTTCAGGCGCCCTGGGCGAGACAGCGCTCCACGTGGCCGCCATGAACGACAACCTGGACGCGGCGGTGGCCCTGATGGACGGCGCCCCCGAACTCATCAACGAGCCCATGACCTCCGACCTCTTCCAAGGTGACCACACTTTGAAATTAACACCACAGTGTAGTCCGTCACTTAATTCAACACCAGAAAATAGCTTTTTAAAAATCATACTTATCCTTGTCTAAGAAATTTGTTACTAGTTACTTGTCTTTTAAACTTCATTAAAAAAGAGAAAAATATTATTATTACAGTTCGAGATATGACGTGTTTGACATAAATTACCACAACAGTTTCTTGCTCTGAAATAGCTACCGTATGAACTCTATAGTAGAAAAAAAATGTCCCTGTAATCTATTTGTTATACAGAAAAATAGAAGTACATATTTGTAGTTAACAATGGTAATTATAAACATCCTTATTTTGATTCATTTTACTGAATATTTTATTTTACGTGTGATTCTTTGGCAGGAAATGCCATGGTAAAATATGTTTCTTTTCCGATGAGAGAGCTAACACGCACACACGTACATGCACATCCAAACCCCTGGCACTTTTTTTTTTGGTCTCCCCTGCCTCAGGTGTCACACCTCTCCACATTGCTGTGGTAAATCAAAACTTCGACCTGGTCCATCAACTGGTTAGCCGTGGGGCGGACGTGGCTACGCCCAGAGTCACGGGCCTGTACTTCAGAAAGAGGATCGGCGGACTCATTTACTGTGGTGAGAAATTGTGCACAATTAGGAGGTGTTCATTGACTAAGTAATAACCTCTCCAACAGTGTCAATCAGAACTGAGCTTGATGTAAAGACGTACGCTAAATACTTTAAATTGTAATAAAGTATCATTTCTTTGGTATTGTTCAATTAACGACTCGAATGAAATATTTACAAAAAAATACGAGGGGTGTAGTACTCCCTTTTGAGAGATACAGTATGCCAAAGTAATTGTTACTCTTGTACACGAAACAATTATTCAAAACAGAGGCGTTCATTTGAAATAAGGAGGAGGATAACAACGCCCTCGTCCCAATGTCCTCAGGTGAGCACATACTTTCTTTTGCTGCATGCGCCGGCAATGAGGACATCATCTCCATGATCATCGATGCGGGGGCCAGCACCAGGGTCCAAGACTATCGTGGTATTTGACGTTTTGAAAACAAAGCCCGGCATGCCTGACACGACTTAACTTCTCCCCTTCAACTCGACTGTCTTCTGTCTTTTTCCCTTGAAAGGCAACACGGTGCTTCACGTTTTAGTCCTGCAGCCCAACAAGACAATTGCATGCCAGGCTATTGACCTAATAATGGCCCGCGATGCAGAGCTGGACCAGTCGGTACCGCTCGACATGGTGCCCAACTCCCGAGGCCTGACGCCTTTTAAACTGGCAGCCAAAGAGGGAAACTCCGTGGTGAGCGCATATGAGTCCCAATCTGTTTTGCGGTGTGGGGATCTCGCCAACCACCTTACACACAATTAAAAATATCAGATAGGCTATCTGTAATCTATTTGATTATTTGTTTTATCTACATTGGAAACAAACAGAGGGTTGGATTATCGAGCTAGGTGGATTTAAAGTACTCTATGAATACAGTTGAATTGAGCTTGGTAGCTAGCTCGCGCTACCAGTTCATCTATCCTTCTGTCTGGCGTGCTGGCTAGCCAGCTTGCAAGGTAGCTCCAGTATTCTTTCTTTATTTCCATTTATCGACCGATCACTGCCAGTTCTTATGTCTAGCTAACTCGCTAGCCATCTTGACAGCTAGCGCCGGTATCTAGCTAGCTCTGCTGGTTAATCTGTACTTCTTTCTGGCTAGTCGGCTAGCTATCTTGCAAGCCTCTTCCAATCTAGCTAGCTAAGCTAGCTAGCACTGCCAGTTCATCTGTCCTTCTATCTGGCTAGCCGGCGAGCCGTCTTGCAAGCTAGCTCAGGTATCTATGGCTCCTACTCTCACCACCAGTTCTGTTTGATAAAATAGGTGAAGCGGATTGTTTCACTCCTCTTCGTCTTTGTCAGGCCTTTCAGCACCTGGTGAACAAAAGGCGTTTGGTCCAGTGGGGTCTGGGACCTTTGACCTCTCACCTCTACGATCTGAGCGAGATTGACTCATGGGCCGACAACATGTCAGTGCTGGAGCTCATTGTGGGGAGCCCACAGAAAGAGGTGCAGCTGGGTTTCCATTGTTCTAGAGTAAAATAGCATCTTTTTTGCCTGTTTGTTTGTTTATTCTTTTTAATTTGAAGATAATTGTGTTTGGGGAAGCACGAATAATTGCGTTTTTTCTAATGAATTATTTGATGAGATAATCAATCGAATACTCCACTCTAAAACTATTAGCTGCAGTCCTAAACATTTCTTTTCATTGAAATTGTATTAGGATGCTATTATATTTCAAAATGTATGTTGAGTCTTCTCAGAGCACGTAAATGAGTGAGAAGTATGTCAAACGAATGGATGGTGTAATTCAATATTTTGGGTCTCAAGGCCAGGAGAATACTGGAGGTGACCCCTGTGAGGCAGCTGGTCAGCCTCAAGTGGAACCTATACGGAAAGCATTACTTCAGGTATGCTTTTGAAGTCTTAACCAAGCACCTGCACACTTGTTTCATGTTGCCTCATACTTGTTTTTTCTTTCTCGAAATATCGTCTCTCCAGACTCCTGATGGTTTTCTACCTGCTCTACATTGGGATGTTCACATTGTGCTGCATATTTCGCCCCCTAAAGGATGCTCCAGAGAACTACACGATATCAGATATGGACAAAACCATCCGAGTCCAGAAGACACTCCGTGTGCGTTGGCAGCTTCAAAATACACTACAGAAGCATCAGTGCATTTATTTTTGACAGCGCTTGCGCCCATTGGGGTCTATTTCAGGTGAATTGACCATCCTTCTCTCTCTCTCTTGTTCTCAGGAGAGTTATGTGACACACGCAGACACCCTGCGTCTGGTCGGAGAGATCATCAGTGTCCTGGGAGCTTTGGTTATCCTGTTGCTGGAAGTATGGCCATTGTGCACGTACAATGGATATAAAAGTCTACACACCACTGCTCAGATGCCAGGTTAACTTCTCATGATATAAAAAATAGGGGCGGGGTGATTCACTTACCTCCCGATTAGATTAAAATCACATGTGTGATGATGAGATTTATATCCCGATTATTTTTTGCGATTTAATATCACAGTTATTGGTATTTTTCTCAAACAATACATTTTTTTCATATCACATTTTAAAACAATTCTTCAAAATCTAAACAATACATATGTTGAATTGTATACTTCGATCGATGCAGCCAGATGAAAGTCAGTCACACTTTCTGACATTTATTTCAGAAAGCACCGGATGCAATTTAAACAGCGGTGTGTACACTTTTTTTTATATCCACTGTACAGACTGTTTATTGCAGACGCTCAACGACACTTTTGCTGTCCATCCCTCTTCCATGACATCAGATTCCAGACATCCTGAGGATGGGAGCAAAGCGCTACTTTGGTCAGACGGCACTCGGTGGCCCCTTCCACGTGATCCTGTACGTTGTTGAAATCGCCACCAAAGTTGGCGTCGTATTAGAAGGCACTCGAAAATGGGTTGCTGTTTCTGTTGCAGTGTCAGCTACGCTTGCCTGGTGGTGCTGCTGTGTGTGTTCAGAGCGTGCAGTGTGCAGGGCGAGGCCGAGGTCATGGCCGTGTGTTTGGTGCTGGGCTGGACCAACGTCATGTTCTTCGCGCGAGGCTTTGAAATGCTCGGCCCGTACGTCATCATGATCCAGAAGGTGCGCCCAGAAGAGTTTCACTCCAACTAACATTTTCAAGTCAAAGTGAATTGTTGTGTCTGGCAATCTGGGGGGGGGGGCAGACTGCCTTCATGAGTAATACATACATCAAATCAAAATAATACCTGTTAAAAAAAATAAGATTGGGCCAAGCAATAATGTTACTAATTTCAAAGGTATAAAAAAAAAAAATTCTCATACCTGCATGTGTGTACGTTTTGAATTTATTTGATTTCATAAACTCAGCTGGCCCAGGATTGAGCTAAGTATGAGTGATACTAATTTTGTAATTTGATTTCATAAAAAAAAAAAAAAGGGGACGTAAAGAACCTCTTATTGTCGAGACAATTTTTGACTTCCCCTTAAACAGGTTTTTGCGATCAGTTTGTGTGGACTCAATGCGGTTTGACTCATATTTGTTCTTTTCTGACACAGCTGCATTCACCTTTTGTGGCACTCACAATCGCATCCTTGGCCTCTTTTCCTCCTAGATTATATTTGGAGACCTGACAAAGTTTATGTGGCTGAGTGTCATTGTACTTCTTGGTTTTTCAGCTTGTGAGTATGCCCATTCCACACACGCAGCATCCCACAAAATTGAATACATTTGTGTAAATATTCTATGATCGTTTCATGGGACGAGAGTGGGGAAAAAAATTACATTTTGGTCAAATGTCACGACTGTACAGCTTTTCTAGCAGTGTCAATTTTCTGGCCCCTCAAAATACTGTTCACGACAACAGTCACCTAAACCACCGGCGTCCTCGTCATTCGCCCCCTCGGGCCATGAAGTGTTCGATAGTTTTACATAAATGTGAATCACCCAGAAAAAGTGTTCCCTTCTGTTTTGACTTCTCAGCCTTGTGGATGGTGTACATGACTCAGGAGCCAGACACCATCCCCGCGTATCGCTCCTTCCCCATCACGCTCTTCTCCCAGTTTGAGCTCAGCGTGGGCCTCATCGACCTGCCGGTGGACCACACCTTCAGCACGCCGCCGATCGTGCACGTGCTGCACTGCGCCTTCTCGGTGGTGTCCTACATCCTTCTGCTCAACCTGCTGATCGCCATGATGAGCGACACCCACTGGCGGGTGGCCCAGGAGAGAGACGAGCTCTGGAGGACTCAGGTGAGAGTTGCGGTGAAGGAGCACATCTGTGCAGAAGGTGAAGCCAACCCTCACCCAAACACAAAACAAAAACAAAAAATCTTGTGCTTTACTTCATAACAATGTGGTGTGTTGCGTTGTCATGGTAACCACTGTGCAGGTGGTGGCCACGACGCTGATGCTGGAGAGGAGGCTGCCCCGCTGCCTCTGGCCTCGCCTCGGAGTGTGCGGGCTCAGCTACGGCTTGACCGAGCGCTGGTATCTCCGGTAAGTGGTGTTTTGTTCTGTTTTCTTTTTCCAAATACTTTATCGAGCATCAAGAGCCCAGTACAGGACGAATATGTGAAAAACTGTTGCTCACCCAAGCCTACCTCCATCCCAACTAAGCTTCCTTCTGACCAACCAATCAAAAGATGGAAAAAATGCCGATGTCATTGTGGGCCAGTTAGCTGGCCCTCCGAGAATGAATTTGAAATGAGATTGGTTCAAGCGAGAGTCCTGTTGCAAAATAGTTTTTGTTACGTTCTGATCAGCAGATTAGAATGATGTGGCAACACGGAGAAGATGAAAAGTGACTGTACAAAAAAAAAAAAAAAAAAAAAAAAAAAATTAACATTGACATGTACTGGAGGCAGTGCAGCCGAAACAAATGCTATGAAATGAAATGTTTCAAAGTATATATCATAACCATGCATGCAGTGTAAAATTTGAATATACAACGGCATTGTAGCATCACATTGAAGGTATACTCCAAATAATTTCACGGCAGTGTGTTCTCTAGTATAATTACATTGTTTTTTCTATAAAAAGTTGATAAGTCTGATACCAATTGATGATTGACCTCTAAAGCATTTGAATGCTCGGTCACGATATCAAAAATATATTTTTAGATCAACCTGGGTATAACAGCGTTCTGTACAGTATTTCCTTCACTTGTGCCGGTGTACCTAATGAAACGTCCTGCAGCTGCGATCAATGCCCGATGACTGACTCATTTTGCAGAGTCGAGGACAGGAACGACCCCTTGATGCAGAAGATGCGGCGATACATTCAAGTGTTTGCCCGGGAGGATGAAAAGGGGGAGAAGGAGGGAACCCAAAAGGCCGACGCCAACCTCAAGGTCAGACCGAGGAATCGGCGATCCATTTCCGGCTGGAAGTTGATTCGTCAGAGCGCTTTGGGTGCCGACGTGGAGGTGGAGGAGCCCGAGGACGAGCAAGACATCCACTTTGTCTAAACAGAGCCGGTGAATGACTTCACGATCTATCTTTTGGTCTTTGCGTGAAAGTTGTGCCTTTTTTTTTCCTCAGTATTGCGCTGTGAAAAAGGAGTATCTGAAATAGCAACATATAAAGTGGGAATATATCTTAAGAGGGAAGAAAGTTCTGCACAAATTATTTATTTGACAATCAAACTTTATTGAAGCAAAATCAGAGTGAATCGCACGTCGAGTACTATTAAGCCACTGCATAAGGCACTTAGAATTGTACTTTAAAAGTGATACAGCATTCACTGACAGGCCATCCGAAACTTTATTCAGTCAAGTCACATATTTTACATTAAAAAGAAAAAAAAAAAAAACGCAGCACATTAGTTCGGCTGAGCCCAAGGCTAATTTTTAATTGCTTTGCCTGTTGTTGTACGGCACCTGCACAGACATTATTTCTTGCAAATAGTTTTTGGACCAATTAATTAAGCAGTATCCAAAGTTAGCAGGATCCAAAATACATCGTCAAATGTTTAGTTTCGATTCATTATCAAGGTCACAAAAATGTTCATTCTTGTGGTTGCAGTTTGTGGCCATGTACAAATAATGCAAGAGAATTGTTTCTAATATTTGAAGGAAATTTCCTGTTTTACCAAAAAAAAAAAAAAATCAAGCACATGAATATTTATGAATGTCAAATTACTTGCATTCCAAAACAGAAAAGTTAGTTTCACATAGAATTCTTAATGATTCTTAATGACTGCGAGGCGGTCTACGAAATGTTAAGCGGGTAATAGCAAAGAAAAGTTGCTAGAATTTGCTGCGGACAATGTACGGTGCTTTATGTCCAACTTGCAGAGCATGGATCATTTATAAGGCTTTCATTTGCACGCTTGGAAGAATGCTCCTGGCTAACTCCTGTTCAGAGTTGCATCTGACAGATGTAGTATGTGTATGAGCTGCAAGGTGACGTTATCCAGTTGTTGTCGGCAAGCTTGTCGCTGCTCAGTATCCCACAATCTCCCGTTGTCTGGGTGGCTCCCCAGTAGCTACAAACCACAATCAAAACAGTCAACATTGGTATTATGCACATATCTAGCTAGCTAGCTCACTATCTAGAGAGCTAGCTTGCTTGCTAGCTAGCCAGCTTGCCAGCTCACTAGCTAGTCAAGTCAGCTTTATTGTCAAAAATGCTCTATGTACAACATACAGCACGGATGAAATTTATTTCCTCGCCACCACAGTGCAAACATGCAGTGCATTAAAAACACATAGCTAAAAATAAGTGCAGCGAAACTGAACTGTCTAAATCAACAGTCAACAGACTGTTTAAGTGGATGTCAGATGCTGAGGGGTCACAGCCAGCATCCCGACTATCAGCTCGCTCGCGAGCTAGCTACCTATCAGTTTGCTTGCTAGCTATGTAACTATCTTGATAACTTGCTATTTTAGCTATGGTCTCTCTATACTGTATATCCATCCATCCCATTGAACGTCACTGTTAAGCCATATTGAATGTTGCACTCTGGTCTTTGCTCCCTTTCCAGTTCAAAATCCCGAACAGCATTCAATGGAGACTTGAATAGCCACACTTTAGAAACACTGGACAACAATGGAATCCAATTCCAGAGTTTTCAATTTAAGAAAACGGGCAAGTACAGATACCATGTATCGTATACGGGCCTAATTTTAAGCTAATCGGATACTCATGGAAGTTGACGATACCAGCCATTGATACTTCGGACAAAAAAATAAATAAAAATAAAAATTCTGACATTGAGCAAGTCCTCCTTGGCAATCATCGGCGCTGTACTGCAGCAGATTGACGATGGACTGCATGGAGTGTATCATAGCTGACTCACCTCTGTTGCAGCACGTTGTCGTCGATCCAGGTCCATGTATCATTTGTGCTACGCAGACCGATCCAATATTTACGGCCGTTTCCATTTTGAGTCAGAAAGCTCTGGAATAGTGAGGTCAACAATGTCATTCAAACGACAAGAAGAGCAAATCAATTTGTTCTCAGTGGTGCCTGTACAATGATCGGCGTCACAACCACCTGGACTTTCTGGCTTCTGACCACGGCCAGAGATCCTCCCTCACCAGTACAGTTGTTCCGGCTCTCCTCCCAGCTCAGCCTCAACGTGGACAAGAAGAAACAAGACTGGCCCAGTCGCACCCATCTTGGTGGGCACTGTTGGCAGCAGTAACCTAAAGCGGGGTAGTTCAGCGCAAGACATTTTTAAATGATGAACCTTAAGGTGGATAGGGAGAAAATGCTCGCCATCATACTCATCCATCCCACCCACACACTCACATCGGTCTTGATGTTGAGAAGTGAAAGTCCTGCACTGCTCCACGGTGCAGGTTGGCGATTTCCAGCCCACTGCGTTCATGGGACAGGCGCTGGATCCAGTTTTCACTAGAGGGGATAGATGCACAATACGTATACAGTACGCGCGCGTCATTTGTGGGAAGAACAATTGCGAACCCCGTTCCTCCTGACTTCCTGTTCCCACAGGAGACAAAGATACACTGTTACTGCTTTTTCTACTCGACCACACTTTTTATATTTCCTAGTATGTTGAGTATTATATACTCACAGACAAGTTTAGTGTGCTGGATACAACATCACCGATAAACATTACAAGAACCGGGGAGGAGAAATTCCATTGTAGATACTTTTTCCCAGGCGAGGCACTAGGGGGGGGGGGGGGGCTCTCGTTTAGGAATTCCTAACAGTCTAAATCAAGATTTTATTTCCATGTACTGTAGTCCATTAGTGCACTGAGCACTTTTCTCCAATTCTTTAGTGCAAACCTAGCCCAACATCCCAGAAAGTGAAGTGAGAGAACATTCAGAAAGAAGTTAGCATTTTCATTTGCGTGCCAGCACTTGTGCCTGTTAGCATAACAGAATGTTATGTCATCTTTCAAGACTATATTAAAAGATTTGACCGCAGTTTGGAGTTGGACCACGAATGCATCAAACCTTTTTTTTTTTTTTTTTTGTAATCCCGTCTTGTTTCTTTCTTTTCTCTCGGGCAACCTAAAGCCGTGCCTCCCTATCTTCGTTGAGAAGGTACCCATATTACATTCGGAAAATCTTTTGGCGCAATCCAAAAAAATACTGCCCAGAAATTGACTCTGTGTGAAATCAAGGCCTGTTTAACTGAACGGAAAGCTGATTTGCTGTTGTGGAAGAGCAACAGGTTTATAACGCCATCGAATAGAAGAACAGAGAATTTCTTCCTGCTTGTCACGATACGTCTTTGGCCAAGAACAGAGATTTTGCACTTCTTAGACCCTTGCTAGTCAGAGGAGCAGTGTGTGGTATGTGCCAATATGAGTAGAAAATGAAGGGAAGACATTGTTGTAAAGGTATGTCATGCTTCCCTGCCCCCCCCCCCATCCCCCGCACGCAATTGGAGTTATTGACGAAACTCACTTTTCACGAGCAGCACGACGATGACCAGCAGCAGCACCAAAGACAACATGGTCAGGATCAAACATGCCACTCGGTAAGGCCTTATGGCTTCTTGGATCTGTTTGACTGACAGAGTGCGAACATTTCAGAGTTGTATTTAGTGGCATCATATTCCAAGCCAGCGAAACTTTTCCAACCTCCCTCCTCTGATAAATTGGCAAGCGAACTCATTGACTGTGACATTCATCCTGCAAAATCTGACGGCCACAAAGTGTCCCGGCGGCGCTAATTTACCAAGTGCAACATTTAGACGGCTCCTATCTAATTGCTAGAACATCTTAACTGTTTCTTTTCAGACGTGTAGGGAGTCAAGTTAGGTTGAAGGTCATTGTTACGATTGTTATGTCAACCTTGGAAGGAAAGCTTCGCCACTGACAAGCTCAGTGAAAAGTTCAAATAAAAGCAACTCTTCAACATGCCGTTTGTTTGAATATATCCACATTTAATTTTGGTCACTCGCTGTTTTAATGAAATGTTATGGATTGCCAAACAGTGTTTCATGTGAGATGAAAAACAAATGACTTGAATGGAAATGAAATAAATTATCAAAGCGACTAGCCAGTCAGCCAAATTTTGGCCACGCAACAAAATCCCACAACTTCTGCTTTTGATTCTTTTATCTTAAATGTCAGCAGCCTTTTTTTTTTCCCCACAAAGTTAAGTTTTCAAAAATCGATTTATCAGCCACAGAATCACTGTGATGGAGGCACGCCCTAGAACAGGGGTGTCAAACTCATTTTTGTCGCGGGCCACAGTGTAGTTGCCCTTCACCTTGGAGGACCATTATGACTGTGAAACCAAATAAAGAAGTCAAGAATAACCGTTTCTTCCACTAAGTGACTGCAATGAGGGGTTTGGTAACAAGAAAATGCTGACAACAGCTCTCATTTATTACAAATGATAATTTTGAATTTGGGTACAGATTTTAGGAAGCATCATGGAAGTTTGACACGTGTCCTAGAATGTTCTCCTGCACTCTTGAACTTTTTTTTTTTTTGCGAGGATTTATGTAATGTGCAATTGAGTGTACCTGGTCGTTTCGTTGGTTCTGAAATGTTTGAATAGATATCCTCAGATGCCTTGTTAAGTCCTGTGTAGTCGCCTGGTTCTGCTTCCTCTGCGGCAGCTAAAGCAAAAATCACGGGAACACATTCTTCCAGAAACTAGATGGAATTTGTCAATCGAAAATGTTACCAAACTTAATTAGGGAAAAAAAAAAATAAAAATACTCGGGCAAATACCGTTACTAGCTCCGATCCAGGGCCAATGTTTGGTAAGGGTATAAATGTAAAAGTAAAGCATTTTCTACTTACGTGTTGGGACATTGGCAAGTGTGTACGGGTTCCCTTCACCTTTGACTTCCAGTATTGGCTCCTTTGCCGCCATCTCGGCTTCGCATTGCTTTTTCTTGGCGGCGATATCGTGCATCTCCATGAGTCCTTTCTTCTCCGCGGCTAACTTTCACTTTCCTTGGAAAAGTACTTGATGGGGCTGAAGAGCTGAAAAGTTCCGTACCGCTAACCTGTTGTCCCGCGAATGCAAACGCAACTGATGACAAAGATGCAACAAAGTGTCGGGGTGATTTTTTTTTTTTTTAACCTTGAGAATGCGCAAGCGGGGGAGGAAAGCTCCCAGAGGCGTCCAATCTTCAGCTGCTTAATGAAGACTGAATACTTCCCTTTCTTGAGATTCGTGATCTTTGTGTTTGGCCTTCCTCTAAATCTTTGGTCGCCCGTGTAAAAGCGAGTTCAGGGGAAAGGAAGAAGCATTGCGACACGATAAGCAAAAATAAACCGCTCATTACCATGTTTGTGTCATTTTTATTTTCCACCCCCCCAAAAAAAGAAAAAAAAATCCATGATTGCGCCACTTATAAAAACAAAACTATGTTCATTAAATACACATGAGAAAGATAAGAGGAGCTTCACTTTTCCATTGCTTTTCTTCCGATATTTTTTTTAATTTTTCATCACGAAAGGAACCCAAAACCAAAAAAAGACAGTACAGTAAACATTTAATAATAAATGAAACTGCCACCTTTAGCCTGTTTTACCCACTGCGCCATTTACTCATACATGATTTTAGGCATATTAATAACGGCGTCTTCCTTCTCCCCACTTTCTCGTTGTCGCCAACCCGGAGGCGTGGTCCCTTCAGGCGCCGTAGACGCTCTCGTTGCTGTAGGTCAGGTAGAGAAACATGTCGTCTTCATGGTGTTCCTGGAACGCAACGCAACACGGGTTCAACTTCAGGATCATTATCGAGCTTGCCGATGAACTTATCACTTTGGTACATTTACTAAAGGATTGTGTTTACGTTTGTTTTCTTTTTCTACCTAACTTGAGCAAACACTTATTTTCACATTAGCCATTAAAAAAAAAAAAAAAAAAAAAGTTCAATTCGTCCCATGACCAGACCAATCTCAAATCCTCTTTCCCCATTGATATGAATGCAAATGTTATTCAAATCTAGCCCCACAAAAACAGCACCAAAATGTTTTGCTCTGTTCATTTTAAATAGCAATAAAAATACTCGACAGGAGAAAATAAAGACATAGGACCGATATTGGATAAAAACACCAAAATCACTTTTATCTGTCCCATACTGCAAAATTAGGCCAATATTGAAAGCCACATTAAAGTACACACAATGCACAACCACTCAAAGTCCCCGAAACTCCAAAAAAAAAAAACAATTTCAACGGTGAATAGCAATAAATATCTTGGAGCAACCACGGGCTCACCCTCTGCCTCCTCCCACATTCCAAAAACACGCATGTTCAGTTCAACAAAGACCCGAAGCTGTCAGACACGCTAACCACTTGCTCGCCGTGCTGCCCCATCAGTGTATTCCAACGTGGAATATAAACAACTGAGTGTCCAATCAATGACATCGCCTTACCTCATAGACTGCAGAGAGAGGAGAGCTGGAGGGGGGCATGGAGTTGTTGACGAAGAAGAAGAGCGCCTCCTCTGGTCTCAACGACACACGCTGGCGGATGAGAAAACACAACTGGCCCACTGAGAGGGAGAGACGGCGGGAAACAACAGGAGATGGTCAGGAGAGGCCATTTCGTTTCGTGTCATTAGGAAGGAAAGAAGCATGAGAGAGAACAGGGGTGGATACAACTGATTTTTTTTTTTTCTAAAAAAGGCACAAAACCGCAGAGTGCATGTGAATTGTACCTGTTAAATCTGAGGGCACCAAGTACTTCTTCTTATCGAGTTCGGGAGCACGTGACCTCTGGGCCCTCTCCACGATGATCTGTTCAGGCAAAAAAAAACAAAAAAACAAAACCCAATCCATTCAATAGCTTGTTGTTACCTATAAAATAAAATACTTTGCTGTCATGCTGACCGGTATCTTGTCAGGGTGCTTGGCCCGGACACGCTCTCCTTCCGCTCTCCTCACCTCCAGCGGAACCAAGCGCTGGTACTGACTCGCCATCTGGACACAACGACACCAGAAAAGCCTTGAAGCTGATAGACAAGTGCTTTATTTATTGAGCGAACAAACAAGAAAAGATGACATGACTAAGCAGTGCATTCATTCATCAAGTGACAGATCACATGAAAACAAGCCTGTTGTGAGACGTGAGGCACGTCGGTACATTTTTGTCTTATTAGTGGTGAGCTGCCGGACAATATGTAGTCAACATGGAACAATTTCTGATGTCATGGCGTGCACATATGCAACATGTGCATAAGCTTGTTTAATATTTTGTGACATTGCGCTGCTCTATTTAGCAATTTAAACACATCACGTATGCTTGTGTTTGTTCACTGCAAAATGGCTCAAACATTTGAAATGTCAAAATACAGGAGACCTCATTCAACCAACATATGACATATGACATTCCGGATGGCACCAATTTATTTTTTTAATAGAGAATATGAAGCCACATGGCACAAGAATGCATGCTTTGTTAATATTTACGACCTACAACTGTTTTAGTGCAACTATTTACTGTAAATTTGATTTTACATCAATTTTTCTTTTTTAAACCTTTCACTGACTAATGTGTTTTTCGGGCGTGGGCGGGGCAAAAGCAGTAAACAATAAAAAGCTCGATGCAGTTTTTCATCCCCAAGCGGTTCAGCTACTTATTTCGTTTTTGGCCTGCAGGTTTTGTCACATGGTCGGAATGCAGCAAAAAAAATAAAATAAAAGTAAAAAGAACGGCCGTTGAGCAACAACAATGCCACGTCTCGTGACGTCACAACTGCCGCGTCGTACTTGACAGCTTACTTGGCTTGTCTGCTTGCTTCAACAGCCGAATTCCGACAAACAATCTATCTGACAAGTTTTCTTCTATTTGTCTCCATTGTGGTGACGTATATAAGGCACAGGGACGTTAACACGAACCAACCCGCAGCTAACGTTGCTTTAAGGACCATATGTAGCAATACCGAGTGGTGGTTTCTCGTTTACGCACCTTTTAAGACAGCTTAAAGACGGTTCGACTCAATTTCAGACCACGGCCAAAATCCCCGCTTGTTTATGGCGTCAGCAAATCAATTATCATGGAAAAACGGATTGCGCTCAAATGAACCTTTTCCAGAACTTCGGAGTCCAAAGATGTCGACTGTCCTGTTACGCTACACGAAAACAACAACAAATAACGCCCGGTCAGCCCACCGTATTTCTGACCAATCAGAGATAGTCTTGTTGATTGACAGTAAAGCCAGACCATTCATACACAACTGGAGACCCTGCTCTGATTTCATTGGTGAACGGTCTGGTTTTAACAATTGACTGCCCATTCTTAACGGAGTGATGGGACAAACCGCCAATCGGCGCAAGCGGGACAATTGGACGGTGGGTGGGTGGGGAGCAAATGAACAATGCCCCTAACCGCTACGTGTTGAACGCGTTCTGCCTGCAGCTGCAAACCATTAGCTCAACGTGAAGGAACAAGCACTGATCCGATTCCAATGCAGATGCACCTTTGAGGTAAATCATCAAAGTTTAAAGGTTGAGTTGAAAACAACGACACACTAGTGCTTATTGCTTTGTAGTCATCAATGATGTAGATCTGTGTGCATTGAGTGGACTTATGTGTGCTTGATTTATCTAGACAGGATACAGTCCCTGTCGTAAAAAAAGACCTTTTATTGCATACAATAAACTTCAAATTCTACTGCCACAAAAATATTAAATCATTTACATCGCTCTGAGAAGACCAATCCAAAGAGAACTACTTTGTATCGCCATTCTGAAAAGCAGTTTGGGATTTGTAATGTTAGGTTTGATTTCGTTTTGACTTTTTTAAGACTGCTACGTTTTAGTTTCGATGTCAGTAGTTTTAGTATTAATTTTAGTGTGTTGTGTGCAAAAAAATAAAATAAAATAAAAACAACTGTAAAGCCATAATTGTCAAAAGTCTATTTGACCATTCTTCTTCTGTAAAGACAAAGAGAAATAAATACATTAAAAAATTATCCCCGATAACTCATGTGCGATATTGAAAACGAAGGACTTTTTTGCGATAGTTCTAGTTACTTTTATAACGTTATGATCCCCCTGAAAGACCAGGTACCAAATGCACTGCCCGCCTCTGGATCTTAGCTGTGCGTCTAAAAACAAATAAAACTTTCCAGTAAGTCTTGCACAGTGGTTCCGCATGATTGAAATCTGGATTTATTGAAATAGATTCACTGTGTACTTAGAATGTTCTGTACATTTCAAAAGTTGCACATTTTTACACTGAGCCCTGTCAAGGAGCTCACACTGTAATAATACATGCTCCATGAACTCACCTTTTCCACTCTACTAGATGTACAAATGTATCACTTTCCTGAAAACATCACTTGGGGAAACATTTTGGCCTTTTGAAAACACATATTATAACCACACACTTTTTGTGATGCGGATAATATTTTTCAGAGAGTGCACAGGTCCGGGCCTCGGCTAACTGTGGTCTTGCATTGCTCCAAAGAGGCAGACTGTCCTTTGATTCAGAAGGCAGGAATCGAGATCCGGAGACACCGATGATGACTCTCCAGTCTGTCCCAATGGCAAACGGAAAGCAAGCGGAGAGTCTCTCGCTTTTTAGTCGCGCTCATACCGCCGCCGTGGCCGTAGTGAGTTTGAGGGCATCGGACAGATTGCGCTGCCGGACTCTGGTGTTGCCGATCAATTCCAAATGCGAATCGGGTACCCATCCGCGATGCCGGTCGGACAGTCTGGTGCCCTCGATCCAATCTGGGGAAACCCGTTGAAAGCGATGAGGAAAAAAAATCACCGCCGATTCAAATCGGTTCGAGGTTTGAGATGGCCTTACGGTCGCTGCTTTGTTGGTGGACCAGGATGATATCGGCTTTTTCTAACGACAACTCATCCGGCTGCTGGGCCACAAAAGCTCTGATACACTGCATCTGTGGGAAATCTAAAAAGAGACAGAAAAGGAGTTTGTTTTAAGAGGCGGAACATCACCCATGACAAGCAATTCCTTGGTCGATCTTTTGGTGTGTCTCCTGAACCCATATTTTAGGTAAAAGGGACCTTTAGATACATCACCGTGTGATTTAAATGCCCCCACCCCCAAAAAAAAAAATAATAACGGAACAATCAAGGTGACACTATAATACACTCGCAAGAAAAAAAAAAAACATTTTAAGACAAATAACTCCATCCGGGCGGCCTGGTGATCCAGTAATGAGCGCGTCGACCTCACAGTGCAGAGGTCGCGGGTTCGATCCCGGTTCTGGCCTTCCTATGTGGAGTTTGCATGTTCTCCCCGTGGAATGTGGGAGAAAAACGGAGTATCCGGAGAAAACCCACGCAGGCACTGGGAGAACATGCAAACTCCACACAGGAAGGCCAGGGGCTCTGATTCCAACCCATGACCTCTGCATTGTGAGGCTGACATGATACCCGGTCGACTACCGTGCCGCCCACCAAAAATTATTATGTAATTAAAAGGTGATTTATTAAAAAGCCTCCAATTAATTAGATTTTGTTTTTTAATTGAGGTGCACCCCTATTTTTTATACATTTCAGGACTACTGTATTAAAAAAAAAAAAAATTCTAAACAAGTAAGTGGAGAAACGAGCTTGGTCCTGGAACGAATTAACCTTTTCAGTCAAGGCACCACTGTATGTCAGACAAACATTTTGGAATTGACGCGAGTGCAGTTGCGTGCCAGGAGTTTACACACGGAAGGAGACGACAAACACGTGGCAATAAAAAACAGGCGTGTACTTGACTTGCATGTGTTATGTCTGTCAGGAAGCTAACAAGTAAAAACTCATTGGCACTACTACATGCGATGAGACTGTTGCTGGTCAGTAATCCAGATAGTAAATACAAAATTGGGGGACGAACCTTCCAGATGCAAGTCATTTCATGAAATTAAACAGAAGTAAATGCACCTCAAATAATTGTCCGGCCACACCTTTATATTACATAAGAAGGCCGTCACTCAGATTTGAGGCCGGAACCTTCGCAGGGTGAGGTAGACATGCTCAACACTAGTTTGCCATGCTTGCCTCTAGTGCATGGCATAACGCGGAGTAAAATTCGAGTCTGCAATGTAATGACAAAGTCAAAGATTCGCGCACAGTTAACGAGTCATTAAGGAAGCGGCGGCACTCGCAGACCAGGAAGCATTTACCTTGTGCTGAAGAAAAATCCACTTCAGGGTGAGGGCGTGAAAGGGCGGATATCCAGCGTAGCTTATCACTCCTGAAGGAAACAAAAGGAAAAAAAACAAGATACAATTTTCCCGCCGCCTTTTGTGACTTAACGCCACCGCCGTCTCTTACTGTGTGTCGGTCCTGAGCAGCAACGACTTGTGCGACATGTGCAGCCGGAAGAGGTTCTTCTGCAGGGAATGAAGTTTGACGCGGCAGTTCTCCGCTCGCAGCTCCACCACGGGAGCGTGGTCGATCACCGTAAATCGGCCCCCTCTGGAAGAAGCGTCTCACATGATTAGAAATTACAATTTGGGGAGAAGTATGCGCGCGAGAATGCTGAAGTGCTGATGCTGAACCAAAATGTCTGCGCAGATCCAGGGGGAATGTGAGACCCCAAGTTGGAACTGCTTCAATCAGTCAGGAAATGTGAAATTATGGAGAGGGGGGGGGGATATTTCAAATCTGCTTATTTGGGAATTTTATTGTGAAAATCCCGAATGAGCGGAATATTTTCAAGTTGAAATGGTTGACTCAGTCGAGAGTTGTGGAAGGAGGAGATCAATGTGTAAAGCAGCTCTTCATTTTGATCAATGAAGAAAATGAGGCGATTTGGGCAAGGGGATAAGTCGTTCCCGAGGTGACGCCCATGAGCTGAATATTTGGAATCAGCTGGAGTAGTTTGAAGAAATGTGGAAGGGATGAAAATGCTCTCTGAAATTGGGGATTTTATTGTGAAAAGAGAACTTTGAACTTTTTGGGGGGCGGGGGGTGTTTTTTTTTTTTTGTTTGTTTTTTTCTTATGAGGCGGATGTATAGAATTCCCCCAAAAATAGTTTGAATGGGTGAAATGTGGAAGATGTGTGTCCAAAAAAACTTGAACTCACTCTTTTTGTTGCGAAAGCAGCAAGTAGTCATTGAATAAGTGCATGTAGATATTCCTCTCCGTGTCCTTAAGGGAGAAATCCATCAGTTCGGTGACTGGTCCCTCCCGTACCAACCTCCGAGACTGACTGATGAGAGGAAGAGTCTGCAAAAAGCAAGACCATATTACCGGCATTGATCACCACTGGGAAATTTTCACAGAAGTTTCAAAGGTCATCCCGCAAGTTTTGACCTACCCTGCATTCAAAGTCCACCTTGGCACTGAGGGACACCAGCGACTCGATGCTTTTCATTTGCGAGATGCTGTCATTGCTCTCTTGGATCAGCTAGAGGGCACAAGAGCAACGGTCAACTCAAACTTGACTTGTTCTGGAGCGATTGGAATTACTGTACGTGTCATGAGTACATCGCAACAAAATTCACTGCACAGTCAAAAGTCCAAAAAACAATGACCAACAGGGGGAGACAGATCAAAGAAACCTGCACAGTTCCCCAGACGGCACCCGGAAAAAAAACCTAAAAAAGGGGAGAGGGAGGGAGGGGGAAACAAGCCCCAAACTACAGTGGTACGTCTACTTATGAAATTAATTGGTTTTCAACTCAACTCAACTCAAGTGTATTTCTAGAGCACTTTCAAACGGCCATTGCTGCATACAAAGTGCTGTACATGGAGCAACTAACATATATACAACAATAAAGCAATAATCAGTAACCAAGATGGTAGTAGGCACCAAACAGTAAAACTAAGATCAAATCTGAGTCATGCTGAGTCAGTTCTGGAAGATATTTCTAAACTAGAAAATGTTATAAGTAGAGACGCCTTTTTCATGTAAATGCCCTAATCCTTCGAAAATGTCCAAGGCAAACATCAGCATCGTGAGCGATCGCCCGACTGGTGAACACTTTTTGTGGGCAATTCACATTTACGTAAAACTATCCGAACACCTCATGGGCCGAGGAGCGAATGACGAGGACGTTGCATCGATGCATATCGATCTATTTATCCATCTACACATACAGACACATTCGGTCGAGAGGTCCCTCTTAACCAATGGGATGCCAGGAGGAGCCTACATAATAGCCAATGGCAGAGCAGCTAGAAGTATGTTGCGTTCAGGAAACTCGGAGCTGCGACGAGCAGCCCATTCTGTATTTTTACCTTTCGTAACTTGAAATTTCTTTCCTAACAAGAGGCAATATTTTCCTGTTGAGGCGTTTCGTAACTTCAAAACTTCGTATGAAGAGACGTTCGTAAGTAGAGGTACCGCCGTATGCTTCTTTTAGGGAGGGGTACAGAATGAGTATGGGGGGGGGGGAACTCAGCAAACATAGCATGTCTCGGAGACTTGAAGATACGTGTGAGAGTGAGGGGCTATCGGGTGGGAGCTGACGTAACGGCCCAGACACACTGAGCGAGGGACCGCATCCTCCTCGGCACACTTGGCCTGCCAATGACTTACTTGATACGCCTTCCAAGAAAGTGAGAAATGCTCCGGAAAAGCCTCGCTCATTTGGCCAATGACACTGCATTGACAGACTTTGGCAGACAAGGAATTTACCTTCTCCAAAAGTCTCAAAGCTTTAATGGCCTGCGTCGCTTCTGGAGTGCCCGCAGTTGTTCTCTTCACAATGTTCTGGAAAGGAAACAATAGAGCGTTTGTCAAATTTCGACATACACACACCCAGAATGTTGTGTGTTCCTGGATTCAAATCAAACTGGGGGCTAAAAAAAAAAAAAAAAAGCCTCACATACTCATGATTTTGAACTGTGGTGATGTTTTGCCTCAAAAAATAAAAAAATCCAAAGGCATCAGAACAAAGCACTCGAAGACAGACAACCTTGAGCTTTCGGTCGGACTACGTCGTTAGGAAGCACCAGAAACCCACCTGGACCAGCAGCTTAATTCGCGTAATTCTTTGGAATGGCAGGACGAGGAAGGAACGAAGGGGAAGTCGCTGACAAACAGGACTCCTCTCCAACTTCTCCACGATGCGCTTGAAGCCCGGATTCTCATTCCTAAAAAGAAAAGCAGACGTTGAAGAGTTGAAGCCTCGCGAATAACGCCGGGGCAGGCCAACGAGGTGAGGAATGTCTTACATGAGTCTCTGGTAGGTGGCGTCCTGATAGGACTGGTTGGTGAGGTAGGGCACATAAACCATCTTGAAGCGCTGGCAGTGGCGAGCGATGATGTCACACACCGTAAAGTGCATGATGTCCGACTCCAGCCGCTCCTCCAGCTTTGCCAAGAAACTAAGAAACAAAACAGCGGAGCTGCTGATTGGCGGCCACGTTGAAATGTTTTCGATTTGTGTCTGCTTGTACACGGATCTTTGTGCTCAGGGGCCACGTTTCGGTTTGAAAACAAGTCGGTCTTGCGCGGTAAATGCAATCAATCATTCGCATTTCTAAATTGCATTTACAAACAAAGAATTCCATTGTAACAAATTATTTTCAATCATAAGTACACAATGGCGTATTTTTCTTTCACTAATATTGACTAATAGTGCTGTATTCAGTACCCAGAATAAAAGTATTAATAGAAATGAACGAATGCAGTGTGTATCTTTTTCTCATTTGGTTCATTTTTTTAAATGTTGTTTTTTAATGAAAAACTCACAACGTCAATTTAAAAAATATTTTTTATTTTGGTCAAATATTTAGTGTATTTTTTTTCCAAATTTGTGTAAATAGTTTATTTTTTTTGCCCGCCCCTGAAGAGCCGCATCCCATCTGACCTGTGGCTGATGGCACGGACGTCGGCCAGCCGGGAAAAGAGCCAGTTGCGATCCTGGGTGGTCAGTAGCACCCCAAGCGTTTTGGACTTGACGAAATGCTCGACCACAATGTCCAGACTGCGGCAGTAGGACGCCTCAGAAGTCACCACTTCAAATCGCACCTATCAGAGACAGGAAGAGGAACATGGAATGTCAGGGCAGAACGCACTTCGGCCGACGGTGACTGATGCCTGCTGTGCTCTCGCTGACGTCTTTTTGACATGGACTGGAAAAAAAAAGTGGAAGTGAGCCCGCTAATTCTTTAGAAAATGTAACTGGGAAAGACAGACGTTACTCTTCAAATAAATGCTGATGCAATCGCGTCTTCTGCGAGCAGAACGATGGGGAAAGTCCGGTCTTTCTGTCATATTTTTCGGAGCCTCAGTTGCAATGGCAGAGGGCGACTGATTCATTTTGGCCACACCCGTTTAAAGCGACGTAAAATGACGCCCAGAAACCGCCTGGTCCCGAGGATCCTGTGGCACACCTTTTGTCATTTGTTTTCAGTTGCTTTACCAAATGCCTTGAAGGAATATTCATTTGCTGTTCTGTGCAGAGTTGCCAAAGTTGGTAGGCCTTGCAACCTGTCAGCCTTTCTTCCCCTTACATACTAAATAAATGGTGTCGTTTGTGCTCTTGTATGTAAATTTACAACACTGGTCAACATATTTCTATTATATGATAAAATCAGAGATGCAAAGTAGATCTTGGGTGCAGCGCACAGAAGCTGAAATCTGATTGGACAAAAAAAAAAAAACATTGATACATCAGTCCTGGGAACAGTTCAGTCAATCGAAACTTGATGACTAGGCATAAATTCACACAATTTCAAGAAACTAATACATTTAGGTTGCAAATGTAGGTCCACGTCTGAAGGCCTTGCTGGCTCTTCCCATCGACCACTGCTTCGAGGCTGTGTTTCTGTATACGTTTATGTGTGGCTTTACCTCCTGCAGGCGCCTCTTGTCCTCCGGGAGGTCCTCCAGCTCGTTGCTACTCCTGACTCCCGGCAGCTCCCGCCACAGCGTGTTCGACTGCGTGAGCGAGATGGAGAGCCGCGGCGATGTGGGCCTGCCCTCACTTCTCGGGGGCTCGGGCAGAGGTAAGCTTCTCACGCTGGTGATGGAGCCTGTGTGGGTCAGGGAGTGGGGATGCGGGACCGGGGGCAGCGGCGGGAGAGGTCGACGGGCCGGAGGCGGCGACGGAGCGGGAGAGGCCGAACCGTCCTCGCCAACCGAGAGGACATCAGAGCGAGACTGGCGCAGGATCTCAAAGTTCTGGGCCGCCTCGCTGTACTGCTGGTAGAGTTGGGCGCGATCTGTTGTCGTGAGGAGAAAATGAGGGCAAGAAGAGGATGTAAGAAAAAAAAAAGAGGTACAGGAAGTTAGAGACAAGAAGCTAAAATTTTTTTTCTGAATGTGGCTACATATTTACATTTTAAGGTCTTTGTAATTTCTCTCGAGGTTCAATGTAAACTTGGACTATAATGCATTCACATGAATCCTATCAGCAGATTTTAAAACACGAGCCTACATATTTGGTATACAGTTCATTGCTACTATATATATCACTGTATTATATGAATGTACTTCACACTTTGCATTAATTATACAAATAATTAGACCATTTAATACATCTCTATCGTTTGGGTTTTTTTTAGATTTACGTTTTGTTTTCATTTTTTTATTTTTTTCAATCCCTCCTCAATATGACTGTTTTGCTTACTTTTGTATGTTTTTTTTTTTGGTTGGTATTTTGTTGTTTGTACAACACTATAAATACATTTGTTTATGTGTGGCTTTTGTTGCTGTTCCAAATTAAAATCAAGTGAGCTAGCTGGCTACTTACCTACCTACATACCTAGAAACCTAGCTTACCTATGTACAGTATTAAGCTAGCAAGCTACCTACCTATATTGCTAGGTATCTAGCTACCAGTACCTAACCATCTATCTATCGACCCGTCTATCTATCATCCTTCTCATTTACACACACTTTGCTGGAATGCCAAGTCACAGCTGCAGCTGTTTTTCCCGCAAGTTTGTCGATCTGAGCGCTTGCGCAAACCTGACGACTATGTCAATCAAGAGCACCCAGGCTTGTTTACTTGGCCAAAAAAACCCTTGCTTTCCATTTATGTCGTTTTGGTAGAAAATGTGTGTGCGGTCAGAGGCAGGGGTGGGGGCTTGAGCCAGCATTTCTGCCCAGATGAATCACACACGCTGAAGGGAAATGAGCCAATGCGTCACGCTTTTCCCGTCTGCGCGCAAGGCCACAGATAGACATTTGAAGATACGCTACCCCGCCGCCCACCAACTAATACGCCCGATTAAGATTTATTAGTAAATTATTCCGAAAACAAGCGGGGAATGTTTTCTCACTGTGGAGTTCCATTTATTCATCCTTCCATTTATTCATCCTTTGGCCATTTGGGCCAAAAATATTAACCTAAACAAGCCTAAATTCAACATTATTAAAGAGGAGCAGGGTCGGAAAAGAACAAAGTGCCACAAGAAAATTGTTTTGTATTGACTAAAGAAGTCACATGGATAGAAATGACTATTTGCTGTATCACCAATAACACAGAGGTGTGTTGTAAGCTGTTTTCGTGAAATAGATTGATCTCCTGAGCATATCTCGACTCACATTGGACTAGTTTCAGCATGTTTCACAACGGAAATCGTTCATCCTTGCACGGAGACCAACACTCCTTTACTTAGGTTATGATGTATTGCACCGATGGCCAAGGTATGGCCATTTGGGCCAAAAATATTAAACTAAACAAGCCTAAATTCAACATTATTAAAGAGGAGCAGGGTCGGAAAAGAACAAAGTGCCACAAGAAAATTGTTTTGTATTGACTAAAGAAGTCACATATTCATCCTTCCATTTATTCATCCTTTGGCCATTTGGGCCAAAAATATTAACCTAAACAAGCCTAAATTCAACATTATTAAAGAGGAGCAGGGTCGGAAAAGAACAAAGTGCCACAAGAAAATTGTTTTGTATTGACTAAAGAAGTCACATGGATAGAAATGACTATTTGCTGTATCACCAATAACACAGAGGTGTGTTGTAAGCTGTTTTCGTGAAATAGATTGATCTCCTGAGCATATCTCGACTCACATTGGACTAGTTTCAGCATGTTTCACAACGGAAATCTGAGATACTCACTGAAAAACTTTGAATTCCTTTTCCGTCTTCCGATTGTGTCCAAAATGTTCCTAAAGAAACACAACACCAGTCGCTTGTAAACCAAAAAACTACTCTGGATGATTTGAAATGAGTCTTGCTTCAGCATCAAATATGCAAAATGTGTTTTCTCGTCTACAGTTGACCTTCGGACTCACCTCAGCTCCACCTCTCCCCAACTTTTACTGCGATCATCCTCGTCTGGAAGCAAAAAGTGTCCGGGTGTTAAAATTTTATATAACAGCATTCCCATCAAAGTATCAGAGTGCGAATGGTCAAGTAGTTAAAAAACAAAAAAGAAAGTCAGAAAATGAAATGGTCCAGTAGTTGAGTTAGTAAGAAGGACTTTGGTGACAGTGACTGATCCAATGTGCTCGACTTGCACTACTTCTCCAATCATCTTTTCAGCTTTTGGTTTCCTTCACTGCCTCCAGTTGTTTCCACCCACCACCCAACCACAATTTTACCTGTGATGCATGCGCTGCAAAATCAAGTGACAGTAAACAGGAGGGTTCTGATGGAAATCAAATTGTGAGATTCGGCCATCAGATGTGGATTTTGTGAGGAGGTGATTAGACGACAAAATGATTCTAGGAATTTGAGGATTTAGGGCGTTGATCAAAGAAAAATGAGATCAAAATCAAGTATTATACAAGGTGCCTCCCCCCCCCCAAAAAAACCCACTTGAAATATGAGTTTCTGAGTCAGTACACGTCCTAGGCAAACAAAATTAAATAAGCGTTATGCTGGAAATGAACTAAATTCAGTGGTAGGAAGAGATGAACGTAGTTTATATCTGTACTTAACTCGGGCATTGATTTTTCGACAAACAGATGTCTGTACTTTCTACTCACATTTGACATGTTGATTGATTGATATATCCATATATTTAAAAAAAAACATTGAAGAACGTGAACTCACGGTCATGAAGGTGGTTCAGAGAAACCAGACACTCGCCTGATTGATTGATATATCCATATATTTTAAAAAAACATTGAAGAACGTGAACTCAGGGTCATGAAGGTGGTTCAGAGAAACCAGACACTCGCAGTCTTCTGACAGACAGACCCACCCCCTCAAAACAGCCTAATTTCAGATAATTTAGGCAAGAATTGGCCATGTTAGACCACAACATTATATCAATTTTTGGGGGGGCACCTTCTAGATTGCATGATTGAAGAAAAGAGGGGCGGTGCTCATCGGTGAAACCGAGAATCAAAACATCAGAATCAGGGACTGCCTCCTCTTTGGTTACCTGTCGTAGTGAATATTCGAGTTCTGCGATCCCTGGCAAGACCTTCCTCCTCTTCCACCTCTACAAGCATCTCCTCTCTTCTTTCGGTGGTTTTACGGATACCCCGTCTCCTCAGACGGGCCTCGGGACCCAAATCCCGGAAACTGCAGGTGCTCATCAGAGTGGCGCCTCCCGCTTTCCTCGCGTCCGGGTCTGCTCCATCTGTGCTACACTCATCGGTTTCTGATTCTACACTCGGTGAGCCCTGACCCTCTGGGAAACCCGTTTCCTCATCCTCCCTCTCCCCTTCTGCCTCATACAGCTCTTCATCCTCATCGTCATCGCCCTCTGTGGAGGGCATGAGGGCATCTGACTGAGACTTATAGTTGAGAATGGGGCAGCTGCTCGGCTTGTACAGCGTATTGCTCACGCACAAATACATCTCCATTTCCTCCTGTCTACTCGCCTCTTTCTCAGTCTCGGACGTCTTGACCTCATCATCCGCCTCCTCAACCATTTTCACGTCTACGGCTACCTTCTCTGACCGGAGATCAGGCTGAGGCTCAGACTCTTTATCCACTGCCGGGTCGTGATCCTCCTTGCCTTCTGTGTCTAACAATGTGTCAGCATGAGTGTATGCGGATGTGTCAGCATGCATGGCTGCGAGCTGGCCGGCATGCATGTTTTGCTGGCCCTGCCCCGTACCTCTCAGCCCCTCCACCTCCACAGGCTCTTCCTCCTCCAGCTCCGGCTCGGGTTCGGATTGCAGCTCATCCTCCCTCAAGCTATGGAGGTGCATCTCCGCGGCCCCCTGCGCAAGCTCGTCCATTTGGCTCGCCTCGGTCTGAGAGAGTCCTTGATCTGCTGAGCTGGGGTCCTCTATCACGTCCTCCCCCGAGTGTCCCAGGATCTCCCGCACCACGTTTTTGGCCCACTTGAGGTGAGGTGCTTGCGAATGCCGCTTGGGCTCCTCAGACATGCTCCATGCTCCGCTCAACCGTATCCGAATGGCCTCTTTCTCTTCTGGGCTCATCGCTTCGACGTTCAGCCCTTCTAAGGCAGGCAGAATTTGCTCAAGTGTCACTTGAGAGCAAACATCGCCGTAGGGATTCCTCAGGAGTCCGTCCCTCGCTTCAATTTCTTTACTCTTTTCCCGCCATTTCATGAGGAGTTTTTCAGTCTGCGAGTCCCTTTTAAAGGGCCCGATTTCGGCATACGGGTGCTCCGCTTTCTTCGCTCTCATTCTCGGATCGTCTTGTGGAGAAAGTAGTTGGCGGCTGTCGTCAGTACACCTGTTGCTGTCCCCGTCAGCCTCCTGCTGGCTGTTCGTCACATGCTCATCATTCCTCCTCGATGACGGACACAGGTCATCCTGAGGCTGCCAGCTGACATCATCGCCGCTGTGATGAAGACTTTCTGAAAGGAGGTTGTGTCTTTCGCCTTCTTCCTCCTGCTCGGCGAGTGACGGCGACATCCTGTCAGACTTCGGTTGCGGTAACGTTTGGCCGATCAAGCAAAAGACGTACTTGGGCTTCTTTTCCTTCCCGGCGACGTCCTCCTCATTAGCGTATTCCTCCCTCATGTGTTGCTCATGTCCAGGACGAGAGGGCGTGTCGTTTGCATGCCCACCCTCCCAGAAATCCTGACAGTCCAGAAACTCCTCTCGCTCGTCCTCGTCGTCGCCGCCGCTCGAAACAGTCACGAAGCCGTCCTCTCCCGAGTGCATTCGGTCTCTGTCTGGCCTCCACCCTATCTCACTTCCCTTTTCACTCTCCTCGCTGTTGCTCTCTCCCTCCGCATCCCTGTGCAAGCTTAGCCCCATACCTCCATCGCTGCCAGACAGATGATCTAACTCCCCCCGGTCGTCTTCTCCGTCTCCACTTACCCCCTCCCGTCTCCAACTCTCAACACGTCCTTTTTCTGCTTCCCTCTGCTCTTCTCCCCTCCCCTCTTTCAACTTTTCGGGCCTCTCTCTGTCTACAAAGTCATCCTCTAGAGACGACTCTTTGCTATTCCTGCCCCTCTGCGGTTCTAACCACATCCGTCTCTGCTCCGGCACACCGGCTGCCATCTCATTTATGTCAATCTCATACCTCCTTGGCTCCTCTCTCTTTGCTCTCTGCACACTCCTCCCGTCCTCCGGTTGGCTTTCCTTGCCCAAGTCCCGCTCTTTGTAGCCGTCTCTGCCTCGCTTACGTCGCGTATCATTGTCCATATCACTGCTCCACTCGCCACTACTCTGAGATCTTGGCGGCGTCCTAGAGGCCGCCTCCTTGAGTGTTGTGTCATCCCACCTCGAGTCAGCCTCTCTTTCCTGTCTTTGCCTTTCCTTCCACGGCCCGTGCACCCTGTAGTGCTCCTTCCCTCTCCTGTCACCCGACCGTCTTCCCCCCTCCCATGCGACTCTCCCGTCGACCTCCCTGTATCGCCCCCGGTTCCTCTCCTCCCCCCTCTCGCCACGATCTGCGTCTGTGTTTCTGCGCCTGTCTCTGTCCGGCTCCCTTGCCGAGCTGCCCTTGTTGTCCCCCTCACTTCTGCTGTGTTGATATGCGAACTCCTCTCGCTTGCCGGTGGCCCTCGCTTTTTCCCACCTTGTTTCTCGTTCGCCGGTGTCTTCCTCACTCCTTGTACCCCTCCCTCCGGCTCTCCTGTAGGTCCTCTCCTGCTCCCAACGGTCTGGATGCATCCCCCCGTCTCTTCGACTGTGCGGTGAGGGCTTCCTGGCCTCCCTTCCTCCCATGTTTTCCCTTCTTTTTGCTGCATCCCTCTCTCTTGTGTCCCTGGAGCCCGCTGACTGCAGGACGTCTCTCCTTTTTTCTCGGAGAGCAGAGTTGGACTCTTGATACCTCTGCCTGGATTTTTCATAGCTTCTCCATTCACCTCTTTGTCGCTCCCTCTGCTGCGCGGTCTCTCTTTCGCGCTCCCATCCGACCGTCTCAGTCCTTCTTGGCTTGTCTCCCTGGTGCCTCTGCTCGCGTCCTTCATCCCGTTCACGACTTCTACTCATCCTGGGAAATGTGTCACCTTTCTTCATGTCCCATTCCACCTCCCTCTCAAAGTCTCTCTCCACATTTGACAGCGGCCTCCCATTGTTCCTTTCATCTTCTCGCCTCTTTTCTTGGCCGGCCTCCCTCGGCCTGGTCTTTGGGCCCCGGTCTCGCTCGTAGTATCTGTCGCGGGGGTCTGTATCTCGGTACCTGGACTTGTCTTTCACTTTCTCCACTTCTCGATCCCTCCGACCCTTTTCGTCTTGGCTGCTTTCCCACTCTGACTGGGCAGTCATGGATGGCCTTGGACTGGGATCCCTGGAGATTCCTCCGCCTGGCTGAAGCTTCCAGTCTGACGTCCTTATGTTTGATAAATTGTCAATTGGCCTTTTGGTCCCCATGGTACCATATTTTGGAGAACCTTAAAGACATTTCACACAGTTTAGTCACAAAATAATCCAAATCAAAAGACAAGTTGAAGTAACAGCTTATAGAATGAAGTACAAACAAAGACTTCTCAGCAAGTTTTGCTGCAACAACTTGAGAGCACTGTGCCGGTTTCAGACAGTTTTATGCCTCGCTGTTGCAACGCTGAATGATACATGGTAGCTTAATGCAGTCTGCCTCCAGTATAAAGCGCAAAAATGGAGACACGGGCCCAAGAGGTGACACCCTCCTACAGTTTGTTAAGAATGCAGCACAAACCTGCAAACGCAGCATACCAAAGGAGGCCTTCGAGTAAGCGAGGGCCTGTTGCACATAGGCACGGCATTTAACATGTAAGTCATGACAGAGAAAGATCCGCGTTGCACCGAGCCAGATAAACACACACGGTGGTGTTTATGTGAAACTCACAAGAAGATCGAAGCCACTCACCTGAATGTGAAGTCGTGGGGAGAACTGGTCTCCCCCCCACCCCCTCCGGTCCTGCTCAGCCCTCAAGCATGTGGATTGCACAACATAAAAATATGCATTCTCTGCTTTCACATCGTCCTAGGTGACTTATTAAATCTCAAACATGTTTCCAAATGAAGCTGCGTCTCTAAGAGCGATGAAAAAGCCTAATGTTTACGCCTGAACTCTCCTCCACTTTCTTGCTGCCTTCTCTGGCTCTCCCCACCTCCTTCTTCAAATTCCCAAACAAGTCTCAACAGATTGACACTTATCTTCTCCCCTCCTCCTTCAACCCCCTTGTGCCTTGCCGTCCTCTATAAGCCGCTCTCACTGAACCGCTTTCTCATAAATCATACAAAAATTTTGCAGGGTCCCGTCCACTTCTTTTGCTTCTCTCCCTTTAGCCGCAGCATGAAACTCCCAGGAACAAAAGTACGCAAGTCGCTGGCCGTGCTGTCCTGCCCCATTCTTCTTTTACCAAACACAGGAAGTACACCTCCTTGGTGTTTCGGGCTCAAGCAGATGATTGGTAGATTCAAGGTAGCCGGGTGTGGCTGCACAACTCGCGCACACACACACTCACAGCCAGGTAAGGTAATAAAGGAGCGGGGGAGGGGAGAAAGAGAATGAAGTCTCACTGAGGCCTTGGAAAATAACACTTGCATTCCCTCGAGTGGTAGGAGGGAGGAGAATGAGAAGGAAAAACACATCTTTTGAAATTGTTGAAAAATAGATTAGGCAATCACAGAGGGGTAGGGGAACACTGCACTCATTATCATTACGGCACTTGTTTGTGATTAAAGATGACTTGTTTTTGTGATTTATCACGGGTGCAAATGCAAGCGCACAAAGCATGAAGCAGGCAAATAGTTTGGAATGCATTTTATTGCAAATTGGGGCTTAACTCATGTTATTGTCGTTATTGTCATATTTTGAAACTTGACTGTTTCTGATTTCATTATTTTATTTTCTGCCTTGTTGCACACATTCTTGGCACTAATCATGACTATGATAGATTGAAACTTATGCGCAACCAGAGTTGATATATTTTTGTTGGAATGCTAGAGCAAAGATACAGGCCCAAATTTGTTCAATTCTTCGGGATCATAAATTCTACAACTGGAGCCCTGCGCGCTGCATTTAGAGACGGGCATTTTTAGAAGTCTTCTTCCCCTAAGGAACTAAGGAAATGCATTCAGCTGCTGTTGAATTGAAGGGGCTTCCCGGTATTTTTTTATTTTATTTTTGGCGGGGGGGGGGAACACAACTGACGTGCAAACGAACCTCTTTACATTTGATTGGTCGACCACATGATCAGGACATTGGTCCCGTTCACAATGAGAGGAGACAATCGAGATGACGTCAAGATGAGTCCAATCAATGCAGGTGCTAATCTCTAACAGGCTAATGGGTATCAGTTTATCAGCTGATCTTGTCATTTCAAGACATTTTTGTACTGTCGTCTGCTGACCTGATTAAATGCAGAGGAAAATGGCATTTATTCCGCTAGAGATTAAATGGAATGTTTAAAGCATTTTCAATGTTGATTCGTTGCCTCAATTTAAGGAACCTAAAATAACTGTTGGAATTGTGTTTAAAAAATTTCAGACTAAAACAACCTTCAGAAAGAACCAACATAACCTTGTGAATGCAACATGTTGGAGGCCAAATCTGAGGAGAAACGTGTTGTCGAGAGTACTCTATGGTTGTTGTTGTTAACAATATTGGTGTTATCAAATATATTATCAAACATTTTTATAAGATATCAACTTTCATGTGTGAAGACAAATAGTCTGCATCCTGTGAAAGAACCACTTACACAACTATGTGCAAGCCAATGGGGAAGCAGACCTGTGGTGTTAGAACAGATCAGTGTCCTCCTTGATCCTTGGTGAACTTCAACAAAACCACCCGGTCCTTTGATGTTTAATTCTTCTAAAATTATACAAACAGTGACAACCGTAAGACTGCATAGTCTCAGTTGAACTATTTAATGGGTGCCAGGAAGATTGAAACATAACTCTGAAGTCTTTTTCTGCCCACTGCGGGAGAAAGTCTAATATGTCCAAAATGGTTCCTACTCTTATACTCCCTCAGTCACCCCCACAAAGGAAGATGACTCTGCCTATAGCCCATGTGACAACGTGTGACTCCACGGTTCTAACTGGTTTTAACCTGTAAGGGTGCAAGAGTGCAGCGAGAGAGGAAGATGTCGAGCCAAGAACAAAGGTCACAGCGACACAATGGGTTGGTTCGAATCTATTATACTCCTTGTTACATCTGTCAAGCTTTGTAGAGGATGACACGATGTAAAAAGACATAAATGAAGAGAGGTTAAGTCACCCCTAGTAGTTTTTTTTTCTTGAGTGGTGTACTATTTTCAAGTTCATAAAAGAGGGTATGCATGCATCATGAAGGTACTATTTGGTGTGCAGAGGTTTTTCCGTTGTACTGAGCAAAATGTGTATTGCATATTCTTGACAGTAAAAAAATAAATTCATTGAATTTAAGTTCATTTCGAAGTCTGGGCTTTAAAGTGTTGACTCATTTCTTCTTTCTCTGTCATTTTTTTTACATATTCTAATTAAGTGGCGACTGTAGTTGTGAGAAACATGCTAAAAATAAATAGTTTGTATGATTCAAATGTTTCCACACAATGACCATTTATTTCCCAGTATTGGCCTTTTCTATCGTTTCAGCGACGCTTCCGGTCAGCTGACTTGGCAGACACCTTCTGGCATCTGTCATTGGTGCCTTTTGTCACGTGATCGCATGTTTAGTTTCACTTCCGCACTCTATTAACTGTTCTGCTTGCATCACTTTGGCCGCTCGGTTGACGTTTAATACATTTCCCGTAAAGCGATAATCAGCCTACTAAAGTTGCCGAGACGTTTGAAGCCTTGCGTAATGATGCCATTATTTCACTTAAGCGCAAATATGAAGCAACGTGTCCGTTAAAGTCAACCAGGAAGTGCGCTTCAGTAACTGGCTGCTTGGACACGAAACTGCAGCTAAAATCAGAAATAATGCAGGTAAGTTCACGATATGGCCTGCTCACACTTTCCCCCTGGATCCTCATTTGCTAAGCTGAACGTACAGCACGCGCTTTTTTTGGAGTACGTATGGAAGGTGAGGCAACTGTTTGGCTTGCAGCTCAAGTGTTTGTTTACGCTTGAAGAACTCATTCACCAGTAAAGGGTTTGCTTGATCCTTAAATACGTTTCCCCCCCTCACTGAAAGACCTTGAAAATTTTACGTTATCATCAAAATAGCTGTTTCAAATTGTCACGTTGTTTTCGTATCCATCAATTAGAACTTTAAATCAATACTGTATTTGGAGTATTTAAAATGTTTCATTCATTTAAAAACAATGTTACGTCAGTATTTCGTAAGTTATTGTGATGTATAGCCGGCCCCTATCGACTACTGTTCATTTAGTCAATAAGAGGTCCTAAATGTGAAGGAATTAGTCTTCACAAATTGAAAAAAAAATACAGTACCATTCCCCATGCTGCACTCTAGTAGTGTCACACTGATAATACTTATGGTTCATGCTTAACAATCAGGGCTCATATCAGTTTATCTCAAACTTTTTAAATCAAGTACCTCCATAATGACCAACCTTAACATTATGGTTTAAAAAATGACCACTGTACTTAAAAATATAGTGGAAAAATGTAGGGTGTAATGTCATGCATGTAAGCATTAAATAAAAATTGTACCTAAATAAAACATTATTGAAGCGTAAATGTATTGGAACTTAAAAGCGAAATACAACTGAGCTCGACTTTAGCAATGATTTTTTTTCACATACCACTAGAGGCAGCCTGGGTACCACTAGTAGTACTCATCCCACAATTTGAGAAATGGCTTTAAATAATAGATTGTGTATCTATTTATGTATTGCACTTGCACAAAATTCTTTGCATATGAAATGAATATTCACATGATTAGAAATGTTACTGACTAATACTTGGAATGTCATCTGCTGATCATTTCGTCGCTGTATAAAATAACTGAAAATGAAGTGTGTCACTGTGTGTTAAAATAAAACAAATATTCATTACTTCAGTGCATTGCATGAGAGCCACCGATTGATGGATACACTGTATTTTTTTCTTGTCATTTTACAGGTGTTGATGCATCCCATTGGGGGCTGCCTCTTCATGTGGACACTGATAATACAGCTAGTCCTGCAAGGGAGTGGTGTGTATGCTGACGATGCCACCAAGAACTGCAAGCTCACATTTGAGTCCGAGTCAGAACGGAAAGTCCTCCAGCGAATAGAGCCGCTCAGTCACAAGAAGTAAGTTGCACCTCAGACTTCCACGAGCAGTGTAAAGGTTCACAAACGTAAATCTCGCTCCCCATAGCTTCACAGCGGAGACCAAGATTGGAGAGGACAAGTACTCGTACGTATTCCAGTTGTGCGGCGACGCAGGCGGCGTTCCCGGAGCCGGCGTCATTCAAGTAGAAGGCCAGAAAACGGAGAAGAAAGTCACCGTGATCGGCATGTACAATGCAACAGAAGTCATCGGAGGAAGTGAGTTGCTCTTCTAATACATATGCTACGTCCCCACAAACGTATTTTGCCAGTCGTCTATTCATTTCCTTCACCTTGAAAATGTGTCGCTTGTCTTGTCTGGGTTTAGTTCCAAATTAGAAGTATAAACATAAAACAAAGACAATGACGCATTGTGTGTTTAATCAAACTAGATTAAATGTCTTTCTTAATTAGCTTAATGCTAGCACACAATGCATGGACTAGTAGCAAAAATTTTAGTTTGTGAATGACATTTTTGCCCCCATCTCCTTCCTTGCAGGTGACTATGTGTGGCTGGTCTACGGCAACGGAGAAAAATACGACACGCACTGTTCCCAGGAACAGAGGAAAGCCATCCTGATGATTTTTTGCAACCGCAATTTGAACGTGGTGAGTTGGTGGATTCAGAAGACAGATGAGAAACAAAACAAAAGGCCATGCCAGTGATGGGAGAGAAGGTGTCTTTAAATATCCGGCGCAAACATTGCCTTTATAGTCATTCCCATCCATTCCCAAAAATAGCATATGCATCAGTTTGGGCGAGTTATCATTGATTCAACTTCACATTTTTGGAGGGGGTCAGTAATGAAAAGGGTGAGATGAAAATTTGACCAACTTCCCCTCATCGTCAACCTCTTATTTATTTGGGTCTGGAGCCAATTTTTGTTGTTGGGAATAATAGAAATTGAATAAATCTGTGTTCGAGACAACCTGCCACCGTATAGTTATTGAAAACAACCAGTTGACCTTTCCGAAGGAACGTTTGCTAACTTCATGCTACCACACAACACAAAACGCCATTGATGGGCTGAAAAATAGCAAACCTTGAAGCAATGGATATTTGAACACAAAAGCTGCAGCAACATATGTAGACCCCCCCCCCCCCCCCCCCCCCCCCCCCAGTGTCATACCGGTCATCGTCTGCTTTTCCAGGGCCAGCTGGAGGTGGTGCAAGAAAACAGGGAACGGGAGCAGAACTGCTTCTACCAGTTCAAGATTGAGTCCAGTGCTGTGTGTCCGGCTCTTGAATACAAGCTCAGCACTGGCTCCATTCTACTCATCATGTGAGTATATCGCAGGATGTGATGTTGTACACTCAACCCCAGTGATGAACGGCATATCCCAGTTAGGAGGGTGTGCACACTTGTGCAACCACATTATCTGTTAGTTTTACCTACCCTTCTTGGGACGTTCATTCATTGAACATGTTAAAACGTTTTGAAAATACCTAAGGTTTTTTTTTTTTTTTTAATCACAAAATGTTGGCATTTGAATACCGGCGTGTCAACTTTGTGTATCCACTGTGCGTACACCCTTTCTGATTTTCATTGCATCTTCCAGCGCATTCTGCCTTCTGACGGTTTACCTGATTGGAGGTTTCCTCTACCAGCGGCTCATCATGGGGGCCAAAGGCATGGAGCAGTTCCCCAACTATGCTTTCTGGACAGAGGTCGGCAATCTCTCTGCAGTAAGTCCAAATGTTGGCGAAGCCAATTGGCTTCAATTCACGTAATCTCGGCTGAGCTTCGTCTGGGAGACTCCCTTTTGAAAGTGAGGGACAATTTCAGCCTTCGCAGACAGCGAGATTTGCTTCCATTTACCAGTCATGTTTTCAGAACATGTCCGCCGTGCCTCCGGAAGGACAATTATGTAGCCAGTCGATCAACGGTGGGAACCCCGCGCTGTACATTTTGTTCATAAGCATTGTCTATTCATCTCCAGTTGACACGTATCTTGGCCAAGTAAAAAAAGTCCACCTCTTCAACTCATTCCCAACATTTTCAGAATAAAAGCCCGAAATTTGAAATGATTGCACACTCACCTCCAGTGTTAACCCATTCCATATTTTTCAGTGTCATCCCAAATCATTCCACATGGTTCTGTTTACTAACGTACTGTACGCGATCCGCTCAACAGGACGGTTGTGACTTTGTGTGCCGCTCACGAGATCGAGAGGAACCCCCGACTTATACGGGGGTGTCCACGGAGCCCTTGGACGAGGACCCGGACGAGCGAGACGACCACTTATTGCCGATGTGACCTGGCATCGATCAGCTTTTCGCCGTGAGACTTGACTGACAGCTTTGATGAAATGGCTTGTAGGCAAATTCAATTCTCGTTTCGGTTTGAGTGCGCGTTCATACGGCATGCAGGCCGCGCACCTCGTTTATGTGAGTGATTGCTCGAGGTTTACACTGAGGTTTCTTCTCAAGAAATCTGCAGGCACTATACTCTCTCTCTCTCTCTCTCTCTCTCTCTCTCTCTCTCTCTCTCTCTCTCTCTCTCTCTCTATCTATCTAAACTTTAGTTTATGACCGGTTACGTCATTTGAATGTTCATTTTAGCCATGACAGGGCTTGGACTTTCATACCTGTCGTTCAAACGCTTTCACTTCTCCTGTCGTCACCGACTGTTACGGAAGGTAAATGACCTAAAGATTTGAAATATGTGTAAAACAACCTCTGATCAATCCAAACAATTTCCCCGTACAGCTCTCCTAAAAGTAAACAGATGTTCAAATATGGTGTAAGAAGAGAGATACATATGTATGAATCTATTTTGATCAATGCCCTTTTGCTGCAAATGACCAAAAAGCTATTTCATTCCAATCCCTATTTCCTGTCGCTTGATGATGTCGAGGGACAGCCAATGAAATGAACATTTTTTTGTCTTTTTGGGTTGTTTGTTTCTACATTCATATCATTTATTTAAAAATTGTAATAACTTCCCTGTATTGTACACACTATACATTTTCTCATATTTCTAGTTGGGGAATAAATTAAGCTTTAAGAACTTGTTGGTAAATGTTCCGAATTTTCTATAAATGTCACTTACTGCTTTGTTTGCATCAATTCCATGCTATGTTTGATTTTCTTCATGCTATTATTTACTCGCGGAATTTGTCAACAACCCTTAGTTGGGAAGAATAAGTTGCTGAAGTCACAGCAGGTTGTACTGATTCAAATCTGTGCGGATGTTTTCTGTATGCAGTGGTGTTGAAATAAAACATTTAATGCTTGATCTTTTGAAAGCAACATTTTTACCGGAAGAAATTTAACTCAAATGAATGTATGTGTGGGTAGGTCATGTTTTTCCAGCCTGTGCCTTTTTACCCCTTTATAACAGTTTTAAATCTAGTTGTTTGTCGTGGAACAGTTAAAATTGTGTAAAGGTAAACATCAGTGGTAGAGTACGCATATCAATACTCCAGCATTCCCACATGCCACACTAAAATGCAGTTTACTGCTTCTTTGCATCTGCTAATCAACGTTTTACTGTTACGATGACAACGTTTTCCATGATGTAATTTGCATAACAGAAGAATACATTGCCTAATATACGTGTATAGTAGGCGACGTATATTTAGTTTTTTCCGTTTTATCTTTCGAATTACAATTTTTGAAAATGTGTTTGTTATTTTATATTTTAAATTGGGTGATGTCATTTCCTAAAAACAATGGGTAAAACCAATGTTATTCGATGTGTATACACTACATATTTTTTAAATTTTGATGTCTATTACCACCCCCCCAAAAAAAATCAAAAAACTGAAAATGTTACTCTAAAAAATAGAAATACAAATAATTTTAAAAAACGTAATCACTTAAAAAAAAATTTTTTTCCCCCCTTGAAACGTCGTGTGTCGATGCCATCCAATAGATGGCGGCATTGCTTACCTACTTCATTCACCAAGCGCCCAAAAAAATCCAGCGAAGACGAAGAAGAACGAAAAAAATCGACCTGTTGGGGGCGGATTTTCTTTTTAGAGCCAAAAAGCCAATAAAAGGCTTTCGGCGTTTGTGTTTGAAACCTAAACCGGGGGCATCCCAATTTCCTGCAAATAGGAGTGAAAGTAACACATTAACCAAGAAACGAGGTAAAGACACAAGCACGCCCTTTTCGACACCGCACACGATTATGATGACTTCTTGCATGATTGCTTGCCATGTTAGCTTCACATGCTAGCTGGCTGCTAGCGCCAAGGGAGCTTATTATCGTCAGTTAAATTTTCGCAACGATCGTCGCTTTAACCTCTGAACTAACGTATCTTGCTGTTCGTGTTAAAACGCTCCGTTGGGTGTACCTAAATATTATTTGAGTCATACCTAGCCAAATCTATTGTTAGCTCTATCTTGGTAGCCTTTTAGCTGGACGAATGATGCTCTAGTTGTTTTTTTTTCCCTTCTCGCTTTGCGCTCACAGGTTGGCTTCTTTGGGAAATCGAACGCGTGTTGTTGGCGTTGGGCTCTTGAGAGCATCGTCCTTCAATGCAGTTGGCTCAGCTAGCTGCTTTTTTTTCGGACAGTGATAATCAATCATCTGCTTGGAAAAAAGAAGCTGCTGCCAGTTGTGTGGGCGCCGTGCAGCTTCAGCACCCGAAACATGGCATGTCGACTCGTAATTTGGTTTAAATTACATTACCCAGCATGCTTCATTTTGTTCTTGACCGATACGCTAAGCACAACACGTTTGGAATAGTCAGCCTTTCTGTGAAATTTCTGAATAAATTTAATCTGACCTCCAAACTTCTCATAGCCCCCACTTTTGTAAAATTTGCTGTTCTCCAACAAGGAGCTGAACAGCAAAATTCTTAACGTTTTTTTTGTTTCAGCTTCCTAGGATGTCCACTTCTTTGCAACTCTCCCAGTCTTTCTGTACCATCTGCCAAAGGCTCTCTAAGATCGGTGGCCATTTTTCTCTGAGATGGGGCTGCACAAATAATCAAATTTGAAGCGTGTTTGTGAATTTGGTTGCCACGTCTAAACGAATCGCTATTACAGAAAAATTAGCTTCCAACTTTCAAATTATATTTCCTTTTTTTCCCCCCTGCAAGTTAAAATCCTTGCATTTTTCTGTCTGTTTATTTTTCTGCTGTGAATTGAGCAAATATTTAATCGGAATTAATTTGCCGATCCTTACATCGGTCCGTATGGCTAACTTTTTGTGAAGTGTAGACAAAAATGCGACTTTCCTGACACTGCACCACTGCACACTATTCCTAGCAGTCAAGATGGATGCAAGTGAGGACCAAAGCACCAGCACGAACAACAACACCACGCCGACCACATCCACCACCACCATCACTAATGGAAACCCGCAAACTAGCAGAACCTCGCGGCCACCGCAGATTGCTCACATGTCTCTTTATGAGCGACAGGCTGTGCAGGTGAGTGCCTGAGCTCATTTCGGGGCAAAGTAAAATACACGTTTGCGTTTCGGATCTGACAGCGTGCTTGTTTATAGGCTCTCCAAGCCTTGCAGAGGCAGCCGAACGCAGCGCAGTACTTCCAGCAACTCATGCTGCAGCAGCAGATCAACAACGCTCAGCTCCATAACCTGGCTGCTGTGCAACAGGTAGTCATGGATCAAAAGTACAGAGGATCCTCGTTTTTATAGGAAGGAGTGCTGTGCTCACGGAAGTGATATAATTAGATTTTTTTTGAAATTTTTATTTTTTTATACGCAAGTGAAAACATGCCAATGTCTTATCACTAACCTGAGCTAACACAGTAGTTAATCATTCCCCCTTCTATTGCAGTTGATCGTTGTACAATGAAACTCAACAGTATTTATCATTTCACTTGTACCTTTGACTGGAAAGCAAAGTGTGGAGAGTCTCTGTCACTGAAAAACCTGTGGGGCAACTGATTGTAACATTTTATGGTAACTGGTCGGTAAAGCGCTTTGTTACAGCTGTAGTTGTTGTGAAAGTGCTGTATAAATCAAGCGATAATATATTTATTCCTCCTTATTTATTTCTAAGAAGCAAGCAGCTTCTTCCATGACAATCACCCTAAGCTTTTGTGGTTCAAAGCTTGTAGCTAGGCGGAAAATTATGATGCGAATATTTATTTATTTTCCTCTCTCTTAACCAGGCTACACTTGCCGCTAGTCGCCAGTCCAACACCGCGAGTAACAGCATCTCACAGGCGACCACCACTGTAAGCTTGATCATCACCAATCGTTTGCATTGCTTTCCAAACTGGTGATCCGGATCAAAATATATGATTTTGCATTCTCCCAGGTGAATCTCAACACCACGTCGGCGGGGGGGACGGCGGTGACCCCTCGTCCGCATGGCACAGCCACCTCCGCCACAACAACCGCCCTCAACCAGTCAGTGTTGTTGGGGGGGAACTCGCCAGGACAAGGGCAGATGTATCTTCGAGTGAGTTGAATGAGGGCGCTGTGTTGTGTCCAATAATGGAGTTCCTCAAATTGTTTCCCCGTGCTCAGATACGCCACGGATAAGTTGTGCTTTCTGGGTTCCCTCGCTGTATTTGTCATATTAACAGCTAATATTTGTCCTCCAGGTGAACCGCTCTCTCAGGGCTCCTCTGGCCTCGCAACTCATCTTCATGCCAGGGGGCACAGCAACAGCGACTGTTGCAACAGTGGCCCAGACCCAGCAGCAGCAGCAGCAGACTGAAGCTCCTACCTCAGCCAGCGCCCAGTCCGACAGTGATCAGGTTGGAGCAACATCACGGTTTAGTCATGTAATGTCAACCTTACACTTATGTCATTAGACAAATTCCAATTTTTGATTTTGTTTCGAGGGCAACTGTAACACAAGAACAGTGCGGTTAGGCGGCAGTCTATTTGGTACGCAGCTAACGGAACCGGAACAGTGACTTGTCACTCGGTGCTTGGGAGGTTGAAAAAGAGTCTTCAAAGGTCACAATTTAAACTTTACTCGTGCGTCAGCCCCGAGTCGAAGCATTTGTGCCCTATTTAAATTTGTTACATTGACCATTGCTGTCTTGGTTTATAATTCGGAATCTGTGTTCAAGCCTTTTCACACTGCGTTTAGCACAGCGCAGTATGCCATCGACCAAGCCATTCATTGTGTACTTGCTGCCGCAAAACAAAAAAAAAACAAGAATGCCCAAACTACTGTAAATTCTTGAATCTCCCAGGTGCAGAATCTGGCTTTACACTGTGCATCCACTCCCAGAGCGGTCTCCATCAAGTCCGAGCTCTCAGAAAGAAAAGAGCCGAGCGCCTTTCCTCTCAGTCAGCAGCAGCAAGTTCAACCCCAGCAGCAAGCAGCCAAATCGTCCGGCAACACGATGGCCGTCAAAGGTTCCAACCAGCCCGGGATGAGCGTCCCTCCTCCCGCAGCCTCGGTGGCCCCGTCCGCATCCTCCTCTCCGGCGCTCCCCCTTTCCCAACTCCTCCTGTCGTCCTCGGCCGCCCCCGTCATCCTGGTGCCCACCTCCAACGTGCCTACCTCCACCCAGGGCTACTCCATCGGCTCGGTCGCCCCCAAAGCCAACGTCAACACGCAGACGCTGGTGGTGCAGCCCCTCCAGCAGGCCGGCGCTGCCGCGGCCGACAAAGGTCCCGTCCCCATCCAGCCCAAGACGGTGCATGGACACCGCTTACCTGTGCAGGTGTCCCCTCGTCAGCCGCTCCCCATTCTGCCGGCGCCGCCCAGCGGCGGCCAGCCGGCCCACAACCCCCCGCATATTCCCGTGCAGCTGGTGGGGGCCAGGCAGTGCATGGCGGGGAGCGTGCAGGCCGTGGCTCTGGCGCAGGTGCGAAGCGTGGCAGCCCAGGAGAATGTGAACGCCGCCTCGCACAACACTTCCACAACTGTGGTAAGCTCAGTTGTGATCGTTTTGTTAGCAGAGTTGAGCATCAGCGCTAAATAAACTTGTTCTGATAGAATAAGTCTGCCAACGGCTCCTTGAAGAGGAAGTCGGACTGCGATGCGCCCAACGAGACGAGTGCAGGATCTTCAGAATCTGCTCCCATCAAAGATGCCGCCCCTGCTTTAACTCCTGCACCGACGAAGGACTCAGGTACGTGAACTCGCGGCCCATCCGATGTCAAGAACATGAGGATGGCGACCCCAAGTGGACAGAAATTGTAGCTGCACTTCAACTGAAAGTTATGTTGATTAATAATTCAAAATGCATTTTTACTTGATTCATCTGGAGGTTAACCGGTACGCTGCTGGAGCACAAGTTCGGCTTGTGGCTGAAATGTCAGGGAGAACCAAAAGTGCACTAGATTAATTTGACTTTCGATAACCTTTTGAATGCCCGTTTTTAGCTGTTCAGTATTTTTTTGTGATGGCTGGGATTTGGGCATTTAAAAAAAAAATCTTCATTTTGAGGCTGATGTCACCCACCTCAAATATGAATCCATAATCCTTTCTCTTCGTCTTCGGCAGCTCCTCCCCCTGCGGCCGCCTTCCCATTGCCGCCCACCCTGTCCCTGCCGCTCTCGAGGGTGGGCCACGGCGACAAAGAGCGGGCGCCGCTCCCCCAGGCGGTGGTCAAACCTCAAGTCCTCACACACCTCATCGAGGGCTTTGTCATCCAGGAGGGAGCCGAGCCTTTCCCTGTAAGGCTTGATCATCAGCTCCTTGGTTCATGAGGTTACGATTTAAAAAAAAAATTTTAATCATCGTGTGGCCAGACATCCCGCCTACCCTGCAAAATAATACGAATGCCATGATATAAACTTCGTCTCTGGCACCAGAAAAGGCCACTCGGGTGTCAAATCACTCCGCCCACGACACTCATTGATTGATGCACCTGATAAAAATGCTGCAGCCTTGGCAGAGCTCGACACATCTGAAACATTCTTTCTGCTTTGATTTGAAAGGTCGCCGGGCTCCTCAAAGATCGCGACTTTGCACTGGGCGCCCGCGCAGAGAACGGCCCACCTTGTAAGCGTCTGAACACACACACCCACACACAACTTGGACTGTGAAATGAGTGAGAGAGTGACGTTCCCTCCATGTGCTGCTATCATCTTTCCCTTTTTTCTAGTGTTGAAGTGCGAGTACTGCTCAAGCCTGGCGCCAGCCAATAAATTCAGAGGCTCCAAGAGATTCTGTTCCAACACCTGTGCAAAGAGGTACTCCTCCATTGTCATGCGCGCAAACTTTCAAGAGGGTTTTACACCACATGCGTCAGTTAACGTTCTCCGGTTCCCATTCGTTGACGGGAATGTGAGTTTGGATGACCATCATTTCCCGCCAATAATCTGCATTTTTAAAAATTAATTTAATCGTGGTTATGTTAAAGAGCATAGTTTGTAAGCAGGTTTTAAAATCATTGACGTTTTATTGGTATATTTTGAACCTTTGTTCATTCATATTATCTCTTCTGATATTAGGGGATACAGGCGAATCAGGGGACCGTATTGTACTTAAGTACAGAGGAAAAAAAGGGCGATTTGGTGTCGTATTAGTCTCTGGAAATGATGATATTTCCCTTTTTATCTCTAATGCGTCACAACAAACTTGGTTCAACCTCTCTTCATGGTCGCGAGAACACATTGTCCCGTGTGAATAACATTGTTACATGGATATTCTACCAGGCAAATAGCGTGCAGGTGTATTTGAGTAAATGATCCTCATTCAAAGGGTGAAAAGATCGTATGACGTGCTAACCGCAGACCTGTCAAACATGTTTGACAGGTCAACAGTGATCTGTTTACACGCAAGCTGTGATCTCACAAGCATGATTCATTTGTGTCACCATGTGATGGCGCCACAGTTTGAATCCGATTGATGTGGTTCGCGCCAGCGGTTGATGAAGAATGTGTAAAGTGTCCATCTAAAAATGTCTGACCACCACCTGAAATGGCTCTCCAATGTGAACAGGTACAACGTAAGCTTCAGCAAACACTACAAGTCGAGCCGAGGACGAAGTGGCAACACGGGGCCGGTGCCGCTTCCGCCCGCAACCGAGAACGTGGCCCGACGCCGCGGGCCCCCTCGCCGCAGCAGCTCCAATGGCAGCAAATTGTCTGGCCAGCATCAAAACGTCAAGGTGACAAAGAATTCCAAATCGTGCATTTTAGGTTCACTGAAGACTCCACAGTTTGAATTGGAATGAACCAGATGTGCTGGCCACCCACTGGTTGATTGTGGGTACGATACTGGTGGGGAAAAAAATTGACCTGCTATGCCTCCCATCACGCTTACATCAACGCCACAGACGATTTAATATCCAGCACACCAGATGATCCCAACAGATTTTTTTTTTTGTTTTCTGTTTTAGTGCCGCTCGGACTCCAGCCGCTCGGAGGACGCGTCCAGCGACGGAGACGAGGAGGAAGAGGACGAAGAGGTGGACACCCCTTCCCTTTCTCCCAGCTCCTCCCACTCGCGCTCGTGCTCCAGAGCTGAGCAGGACGGCGTTCCTCAGTCGGACGCCGCCTCGGCTCCCGGGAGCCTCCCCATGGAGGCGGCCGGCTTCCTGTCGGCCACTCCTGCCCAGTGGAGCGTGGAGGAAGTGTGCAGGTTCATCTCGTCGCTTCAAGGTAGGACCGCTGAGACGTTTTGCAATTCCAAGAGTGCAATGTCTTATTTTCAGACTCTTATAAATCTACAAATACATATATGTATTTTCTTTTAATCCTTGTGCATGTGGTTGTCCAGGCTGCGAGGAGCTGGCCGCTCACTTCCTGTCCCAGGAAATCGACGGGCAGGCTCTGCTGCTCCTCCGCGAGGACCATCTCATCTCCACCATGAACATCAAGTTGGGTCCCGCCCTCAAAATCTGCGCCTCCATCAACAGCCTGCGCGAGTGACCTACTGGTGACTCGCTCTCCGCATTGTTGTTTGTATTTTGACACGACACTAGGACTGACAGTTTACATTCTGGACCTCGAGTGTGCCAAAACATGTTTGGCTTTTTTTTGGGCTGTAGTATGAGTGACCACATAATCCATGTTCAGTACGCTAACCTGATTGTGACAACTTTAGTTTTGTCAACTCGTCATGCGGTAGTGAGGTTGCCTACGCAAAAGACACGTTGCCTTCTTGCCGGATTTAAAATGGTGCTAATTTGTTTTTGTTTTTTTGGTTTTTTTTAAATGAGTTCCCGTCTGATAAGAAGGAAGATGTTCACAAGGGTTTCTAAAAGTTTAGTTTTGTATCTTTTACATTTTCTACTCAAAAGTATTTTTCATGGCAACTTTTCAGAGCCGTAACCAACTTACGAGGTGTGGTGGAAAAGTTCCAGGACTGGCGTCACAAAAGATAGAGAATGGTGCCTTGAGGTACGAGGTAAATTTGTTCTGCGAATACGCTTTTAACTCGCATCTTAAATGATCTTCTCATTGAGATGATTGGAAATGCCTCTCATCTCTTCCAGTTGCCCAAAAACAAAAATCTTCATGTGCTTTTTAGACCGGAAAAGAGCACTCTTGAATGTACTTCAGACAAACATGACAAAATGAAACAGGTTTTGTTTCAATTCATTGCACATTCCGCTTCTCTTTCTGGTGTGCCTGCCTTGGCCACCTCGGGGAAGTGGAAGACACAGTCTTTCAAAAAAAACAAAATAATGGATTTGTTGTAAAGGATAAAGAATGCCTGGGAGGGGGGTAAGGGGGTCTCACAGCCAGGTCAGGTGAGGAGATAGGTTACTCCAGCACCGCTATGTTCTTCTCGGCCGGGAACTGGAGGATGCTTGGGTCGCTTTTGAGCGGCGAGGAGTTGTCCTGCCACAACTCTCGCCTCTTTTCGCGCACTCAACGAAGCAAGCGCTGCAGGATTGTCGGCCCATGTTGAAAGGGCAATACTTGTCATTTGAAATTTATCTTAAGTAACACGGTACTGGAACTTTTGACATCTCATTGCTACCTGAATATGGGTTGATGTGAGGCAGCCTTTCATCTTCCTCCACTTGAACCACAGGCAGACGTCTGAATATTTATTCACATTTTATTTGTCATTCAGTTCAGGGTTCTTCACCGTGGAACCATACACACGCACAAAAAAAATGGCATCTGCGACTTGACATCGGCTGCAGGAAGTTGGTAAACAACGCAGACAAACTGTCATTCCACAGCATCCACTCCAACTGGATGCCTTTCAAGTTTACATCTGCTTCAAAGTGTGTATTTCCTTTCGCCTAAACCTTAAAAACATTTTCATAGCGAAAGCTTAATAAAAGTCTTGAGTATACCACATTTTGTTTCTCCTCGATGTGCAAATCGGAATGTGTAACAGTTGTAGTGGGAAAGTGCACCAGTTAAAAAAAAAAAAGTAGAAGAACTTTTGTTCTTATCAGAAGATGGTGTAGCTGTTGGCTTCCCCGTATCCGGCCTCCTGCAGGTACCGTTCCAGGTTGACCGCCGGCGCCCCCTTGAGAACTTTGTCCGAGGCGCTCTTCTCCCCGGACGCCAGCTTGCGGGTCACCTCGTCCAACGCGAGTCGATCCGCTTCTTTCCACTGGCAGCAAGCCTTAATGACACCGTAGCTGTGGAGCAATTTAAGTGTGAAATGGCGTTTGAGCACGGTGAATTTTGGCACGAGCGCTGCATCCTTACAGGGCGTTGGAGCAGTTGGGATGCTTCTTCAGAGTTTTGCCTCGCTGGTGGAACTGGAGGAGTTCATTGACGGGGATCTCTGCAAATGGGGCTTCTCCTGCACAGGCAAAGCGTTTGGGTAATTAGCCCTGCTCTGCTGAATTTTTTTTCACTCTGAGTGCTCTGTGATTGGCTGGCTCCTTGCCCAAAGTCAGATGGGATCGGCTCCAGCTAACTGACCCCAACCAGGGCAAGCAAATACTGTACAGTCGCCCCCCTCTATTTGCAGGGGTTCGGGACCAGGCCGCCTGCAAATTGTGAATATCCACCGATCGATTAATAACTGATATCTCTTAAGATCTGCAAAAAATAGCTGACTTTTTTTTCTCTTTTTTTTTTAGATTTTTGTCTATTTGAAGAAATACGGTCAGGTTAAGTCCTAATTTGCAATCCGACTTACCCAGTGTTGCCATTTCATACAGTAAGATGCCAAAAGACCAGCTAGAGAGAGATGAAAGAAAGGTCAAGTCAGGAGGAGGACCAGCACGTGCTGGATGGAATAGCTGAAAGGCAAAACTATTTGCATTCAAGTCAATCTGCTGGGGGGCTCACATGTCACTGCTGGGACCAACGTCTCTCTTGGCTAAAATCTCCGGCGCCTGCCACTTCTTCATGCTGGGGTCGTCCTTCTGCGTGGCCGCCTGGTTCTTGCGCGTGAAGACCCCGTTAAGGCCCCACAGCTTGGCCGTGTGCGCCTTGCTGACCAGGACGCTCCGGGCACGGATGTTGCCGTGTAGGAGATCTTTGCTGTGGAGGTACATCTGCAAAGAAAGGAGTCTCCGGGTCAAAACGGCAAATCCTTTTTATGCTGGCAGGATTTTTCATTATCGATCGTTTTTTATTTGATGTATTTCTTTTTTAATTCAGTTAGTAGAAGGTTTGTTAGATTATATTTGTTTTTATTGTTTCGTTTTATGTTAGTTTTACTTGATATATGGCGCATTCGTCGGGTGCACAAAACAAAGTACAGTAACTTGGTCGTTTGTTCAATGGCGGCAAAATACAGGTGACAACCAAATGTTCTTCCATTAGATGGCAGAAAGTACATAATTGCGCTGTGCAGTGAGATTGTATTTTTTTTTTTTGGTAAAATATGCGCTTTGGCTCCTGTTGACGTTGTGGGCGTGGCTTTACAACAATAGCGTCAACTACTCGAAAGAGTGGCTTGGCAAGTCAAATCACCCCGCAGGGCATTCTCGGGAGTCAAGGTAACTACCGGCCACCCCATCATATAATGGTACAGTCGAATCCCGTAAACAACGATTTAACCCACTATATTTTGTTGTTCTACTTCTTCCATTCATAACTTTGCTGCTGTGAATTGGGAATTTCTCCATTGCGAGACTAATAAAGGTTTTCTTATCTTATCTTAAAACGTTCACATCTCAAAGGCCCGATTCCACGTAATTCATTTGCCCATTTTGCTTACAACGAACACCTTTATAATGTAAACTCCTTTAGAACGACTGGATTTTTCCCCACAAAATAGTGAAAAGGCCTTCGTTATGAGGAACCCTGGCAAGCAAACTGCCGGGGTGACTTTGCGTCTGAACAAAATGTCCGGCGCGGGATTCCCCTCCTTTGCTTTAGCAACACTATTGGTCCAGTCTTACATTATTGTACTTCCTGGCGTCACTCACGGAGGCAAGGTGCGGTCCTGAGCACATGGTCTGAAAACATTTAATGGAAAACGAAAGCAAATCTTGCTGTCTGTAAAGGCTGAAATTGTCTCTCACAGTTGGCTTCGTCTGCGTCATTTGCTGACAGAATGTCTTCAGAGATGAATTAGGGACACTGCAGTCGTTTGTTTAATGTCTTATAAAATCTTTTTTTTTCTTCTTATACATGTATTTGTAAGTGACATTTTTACACTGAATTACATATTCATGTTTTTACATCTACAAATGTTCATACTGTATTATACATCGTGGTTGGCGGCCATTTTATTTGAAGTGGTTACAACAACTACCCTTACAACGTACGGATTTGTGATGTCCCTCAGGGTACGTTGTCACGAAGTTCAACTATACAAAGATGCTTCAAAGCAGTACAGTATTGACAGTGACACAGAAAAGACAAGGAGTGGGGCACACACTTCCTGCCATTTCAAACTATTTTGACTCTGCTGGGGTGGCCTATAGCGCTTCTCACCCTAGAGACGTGGCAATCCGATTTGGCAGTCAAATATCTTCAAAGAATGTATACCAACCAGTGCTGAGACCACATGTTGGGCCATGGTAAATATTCGCCTCTCAGTCATCTCGCAGGGAGGATTGGCGTCTTCCTGCACAAGGGAACACAAACACAAACTCAGTTTGGTTTTACAGTGCACCGTCCTGAGCTGGAAACAATCAGTTCCGAGTTTCCAACATTCCAATTCAATTCTTACATGTCCAGCATACTCGGCCCACATGTCACCCATTGAAGACTTCCTATTATAGTAAAACTGCAAGTTTGAGTGTCCTTTTATTGTGGGCAGCCTAAGGCCCACTTGAGAAAAGTAGGATTCATTACTATGGAATGAAAATTGACTATTTACCGTATTTGACACATTTTTGGCTGGAATGCGAATCTGGCCTATCTGTCCCATTTCCACTCCCGCATTCAACTGACCTGTCTGCACCGCCACAGGAAGCTGAGCAGATCCCTGTTCTCCATCTCCTCCACCACCGTCACCAGGGGGGCCCGCAGAGAGACCACGCCCAGCAGCTCGGGCAAGAACGGGTGCGGCCCCAGCTGGGCCAGGAAGGACGCAAAGCCCAGGAAGTTGTGCCTCTCGGCGGCATCGGCCGAGTCTGCGGCCACACACAAGGTCATAGATATGCTCATCAGCATTACATAAAAGGTGAGTCCGTATTAAAAGACACCGTTTTTCTTCGAGGTCCAAATTAGGGTCTATGTACTAGTACACTTTTCATTCTCACTGGTAAGACAACTGGTTAATATTTTTTCCACTACTGCATGATATTTTTTGATGATCAATGAATCGTTTAGATCTCTTTTTTTAATTGAAAATTGCCCAAATGATCAGAGTTTCACCGTCTCAAGCGTAAAATGTAAATAAAACATTTGCTTTTTGTTTCAACAATTATTATAAACAACGCTCAACGTTTTTGCCTATTTTCCGACATGTTATGGATCAAAGTAACTGAATTATTTAATTTGGAATGATGATGGATTCATTTGTACATTTTCTGCGCTGTCAATTTTTAAGTATAGTCCTGTTGTTGATTAAAGGGATGGAACTTTTTTTTTTTAACCCAATGCATCGATTAACTGACAAAATAATCACCAGATTAATCCATAATTCAAATAATCGTGACTTGCAGCCCTACACACTAGCATGCCAAAGTTGTACATTTAGTCAGAACAAAGAGCGTGAGACAGAATAGGAAGACAAGTCAGTCATGTCACTAGTACTACACAGAACTAGGGCCCGGTTTTGCCTCGCTGTTAGTAGTTGCACTACTGGTATGCCACTGGTGAGGACAAATAGCTGACTCGTAGATGGGACAGCTGGATATCAACAGTTCTGGAGTTTAAACAACAAATGCCTTTTACTTGAGATGCATCCACGTATGGAAGACGGCGCGTACCCGTTGACGCATATCAAGACAGATGGAAGAAACGCTCAAAGGGCTCCCCACCATTTAGCACCCGTAGGATCACGTTCCTGTTCTCCATGCGGGCGCGGTAGAGGGACACGGCGGAGTTGGAGCGCAGCGGGAAGGAGCCGGGCAGCGGGGTGACCAGGTTGAAGGACTCGGGCAGCCTCTGGCGGGGCAGCTCCCTGGGCTGGACCACGGCCTCCGGCACGAGCTTGTAGGCCGGCGCTTGGGCGCCCGATGACAGCGGCGGCATGTCCACGGACAGGGAAAGCTTTTTGGACGGGTACGTGGTGGGCGGATGGAAGGTGGAGTACGAGTTGGGCATGTCCAGGGCGATGCTTTCGTGCTCCAACACGTTGATTCCGGGTGGGGCTGCACGAAGAACAAAGGAGAGGAATCAATCAGTCATCGGTCACTCAACTTCTAAAAGGCAAGACCCCCCCCCCCCCCAAAAAAAAAACAGAAGCCTCGAAAGAGGTGCTCGTGCTCAGTTGCAGTTGGTGGGGTTATCAGTCGGTCCGCAGAGGAGTCGGCTCGACCTTACCGTCGATGCCATGCAGCTCCCTCCTGTAAGTGGGCTTCAAGGTGCTGAGACGGATGCGTTCGACCTTTTCTGGACAGAAGCGCAGCAGCAGGATGAAGACCAGCGTGATCACGAAGGTGGCCAGCAGAAGGATGGGCACGATAATCACTTCCTTCTCGTACACACGAATCTCTGACCAAAAAAAAAAAAAAAAAAAATTCAAAGAAAGAGCTAAGATGATGACAAAATATATCGAATGCACTTGAGCACTTCGGTGGCCATTTTGCTCCACCTTCTTCCTGAATGGTCACATTGATGCAAATGGACATTCCAAGAAAAATGTCAGAGAAAAAAACCCAACTAGAACAGCTGAAAATTATTTGGGGTGAAAAAAAATCCTTGTCATTTATTTGACTGAATCGTGCAATTTGATTAACGCGGTTGTCATTCTCGACCAGTGGTGTCCAAACTGTGGCCCGGGGGGGCCATTTGCGGCTCGCAGTCCATTTTTGGGGCGGCCTGCGGCATATATTAAACATAACTCATGACATGGCCCACAATGCTATTAAAAAAATAACAACAACGAGGAATGGGGGTGGGGGGGGTGGTCAGAATTTGGTGTAACTGTCTTTGGTGTAACTCCTAAACTTTTCTAGATATACAAAACACAAACATATTTATGGCGAAAATAACACTGTAGAGAATTAGGCTCATTCATTTTCAGGTACAAAACAAACACAACACATTTCCCTTCACTCTCTGCTTAGTGTCAAGGTCCAGTTTATGAACGTATCGCATTCGTGCCCTCAAGTGTGATGACCGTACTACAGATTGAGCTTGTTTTGTTTCTGAATGCGGATATGGGATTCTGGTGCTGCTCAACGGAGGTGCTGATCTATTCTAATAGAAGTAGAAGGCAGCAATTTGAAAGGGTTAAGAAATAAAAGGCAACCGATATTTTAGACCAATGACAATAACTGATAGTTTATAAAAAAAAAAAAAAAAAAAAAACCTCAAACAAGGCCTGGGGGTTAAGACACGGATACGTTTACAGCGATGTCAACTATTTAGCTCACCGCAGATGGTGTCTCCTTGTTGGCAGCGGAAGTCTGCGTCAGATATTGACGACATCCTGTCAAAGAGGAGAGAGAGCCTGTAAAGGCAAAGCAAGTTTATTTGGACAGAAGGCGAGTACATATTACTTTACAGAGATGACGAAATAATGATTGATGACAAGCTTAAATCAAAGAGAGGGTGGAGGGGGCGGGGACAGGGACACATAAAATAAAAGGATTTACCCACATGGTAAGTGTACAGCCGTGACCAAGAAAGTTTTCAGGCCAGATCTAAATGTACCACTGCTCGAGCAAATACAAGTTTGTTCCACGGTTTAAAACCGGAACCACACATTGCGTTTATAAAACTAACTTAAAGTAATAGAAAATATTTTTTTCCCCCCATCTTTGTCCATCATACATGAGCTTTCAGAATTCATTTTAAGTCTGTTTATTTTGGCGTTGCTGTACGTCAAAGATCAAAAAGTCGTTTGAGAATCCCACCATACTTAAAAATCCTATATTTAGTGACCCCCCCCCCCCATCTTGGCCTCAACACTCCATGTTTTTGACAAAACATTAAAACTAACCGAAAACGAAGCATCTAAAAAATAAAAACTACCAAACCAACAGCAAAATTTGACAATGAAAACCCGCTTTTAGGAGCAGTGTGGTGGGTTCCAGTAAGAACTTGAGGAGCAGCATTCTGAACCAGTTGCAACTGCTGGACACCCCCCCACCCTCCACACACTCACCCCACCCATGACGATTGTCCAATCGACTAAAAATGAAAGTGTGAACAAGCCTTTCTGTGTTTTGTTTGTTAAAGGAACACAATTGTAGGCAAACACTGGAAACTTTAGTCCTCATCGAGGGAGGAGTTCTTGCTAGGCTAACTTGGAGACGGTCTTAAAATGAGGCAGTGACATGACCCTTTGCAAAACAACAATGCCCATTTTTATGGTATTTATTTAACAATGTGTCGTATTGAGGTCGTGTTGAATTACACTCGCATCAACAATGTCCAATACATTGCATTCAATATGAATGATGGACAACCACTGTGCCGTGAGATCATCAAATTATTGCATTTCACTTAATGATTTCCAGGAATGATTTACCGACAAGTGTATTTTAATTTTCTTTTTGCCCGCATTGTACAGTAACAGACAGAACAATCTTTTTTTCCCTTGGCGTGCATGACACTTTTTTTTTAATGCATATCTCTGGCTGAGCTACAGGGAGTAGTGGGGGCCCTGCAATATGTTTCGACGCCAAGGTGCCAGGCCAGATAATTGACTTTTATTTTTTAAATTTTGACGGGATTTTTTTTTCACCCCCGCATTTCTCCAAAGGGAACATAAATCAATGTTGATCTGTGTTTTCTGAAAAATGTGTGTGTGTCGGGGGAATTAATCAAAGGGCCACTCAAAGTGCAGCCGGCGGGCCGCCGCTGGCTCCCCCGTCCCCGGGCGGTATACCCCCCACG